CCCACCACAGTGACCACAGTCCTGAGAGAAACAGCTCTGTCTGACTGAAGCTGCTTCTGTGTGTCTGATCTATTTTAAAGACATCAGATCTCATTTCCAGAACTCAGATGTGTCTCCAGCTGTTTGTCTCAGAGTGAATGAAGAACAGTGAGTGTTAAAGTCTCGGACAGATTCCTACCTTGTTTTCTTTTCCTACAACAACATTGTCTGAGCTGCTGACCACAACACAATCTTCTGCTTTTCCACTTCAGTGCAGCTGAAGAAAGTTAGTTACAGAATTAGCGCCACCAACTGGCCTGAAGCGGCTTTACACTGGAACCACGCGGTCACAGAAACGGATGGAAGGTTCGTTATTTTAAAGCTTCCAGCGCTCTGATTGGGTAAGAGTTACACAGTCAAACAGTAAACTGACATAAGTTCACACTAATATAGTAACATACACAATTTTCAGAAAAATTTAAAGTTTTGAGTTTTAAACAGCATCAAATGCAAACAGTTTGACAGTTTATACTTAGTAATATTGCATTTATTTCTGCTTCATTTGGTCCTGGCTGCATTGAAGCCCCCTAAGTAAAGGAACCTTTAACACAAAGTTATAGGTTAGATATTTTGTTTATTAGAAACAGTTTGGTGGCAGCTGTATCATTGGTACTATATCCAACAATTTCTATCACTGGCTTTCAATGTTAAAACATGAATGAATAAATCATAACACAAAACAAAAGTACATTTTTGTTTTCATCCAATCAGAGTTAAAGTTTAGACATTAAATGTATGAATGCACTGACATGGGTATTTTGGGATGATGCAGATAGCTAATATTCTTCGTGTGCATACATATCTGCCAATGCTAATACATAATACATAACTCTTTTATTTACAAATAGTTTCCTAAAGAAGCACTTCAGATCTTGATTGCAGGGAAATGATGGTCCATTTGTAGGGAGATGTGCACAGAAATTATATGCAGACATTCCCCCCGATCCCCTTTCAGCCTGTTTCTCAGGTCAGTTTTGCTATTTGGACTTCAATAGTTGCCCCTAATAGTTTCAGACTTCAATAGTTGTCCCTAATTTTCATTTCCTAGTGCCATTTCAGACAGTGAACGTTTTTAAACATGTATTCAGATATATTTAAAAATAAATCTTGTTTCAAAAAAATAAACTTTTCTTTCTTCAATCTTTAGTTTCAGATCCTCAGTCAGCTGATTAGATGAGCCCATGACTGTGAAGTGTAAGCATCCTAAGAGGTTTGAAGGATCACAATTTATTGTACTCTGCAATTGTCTATACAATACTTGGATTAAGGCCTAGTGAGTAAAATAAGTAGTACGACCTTAACAAAACAAAAAAAAAAACATGGTTCAAAATTCATACTTTGGTCACTTAAAGACCTTGTAAAACAAGATCCAGTAAGATTCAGTGGAACAATGTACATAGAATAAAACATATCCAGTGTTGCAAAGTCCTATGTGTCCTTCCAGACCTCATCCATTAGCCTCTGAAATGTTGCAATGGCTCCATGTTAATCAAAAGGCATGTTAAAAAATGGCATAGTCCATTAGACACTCTAAATGCTGTCAGTTCTCTAGCTTCTTGGCCCAGTGGTACCTGCCAGTAGCCTTTGCTCATTTCCAAAGTGGATAAAAACTGTTTTCCCTAGCCTCTTGTCAGGTTCTCTGCAGGCAGCATGGCGTATGGGTCCAAAGCATTTAACTTTGAAAAGTCTATGCAAAAAGCTAGTCCACTGTCTTTCTTTGGATAAGCACCACCGGGCTGCACCATTCACTTTCGATGGTTCCACCACTCCTAGTTGAAACATTGTCTTAACCTCCTTTTTCAGGCCGGGAATCAGACGAGCGTCCACCCTGATTCCTCTCCCAACAGGTAGTCTGAACAGTTTGGTCTTGATTTTTGTGCTTCAGTATGTCAAGTTTTGTATTGCACTCCAGTGAGTGATGAACTGCATTTGCAATAAGAGACTTTTTTTTTCCCCAAAGTTTAGTAAAACTTTTATTAAGAAACACTTGATAATAAGAACTAGGCTAAGTCCGCTGCTGAACTAGTGGCCAATCAAACAAATGACACATTAAGTAAATGTAGTTTAATACTACAGTACTTCCTACTGTATTTTTGTGTGGTTTTTGTTCACTCACTCTACATTGTGATATTATTTCTCCATTTCTACATAATCTTTATATTTCTCAGGGAGGTGGAGAAGTATAGAACAACTAGTTCAAATGCAAAATTCTGCAACAGAGTAAAATCTCCTTAAATATGTTACTATTTGAATGTTTACAGCTGCAGATACATCTAAAAAACATACTAATATGTTTCTAGTGCTGTACAGGTTTATACATTGGAAATCATTTGTAGGAAATGAAGAAATGTTACGTGTCCACAATGATTGTAAAATGTGGTAGAAAGCTGTAGAGCATCAAGAGCAACGTTGTAGTACAATTAATATCCAGAATTCCTTTCATTTGCAAAGCGGTGATCAAATCCTGAAACAGATACTGAACTCTGAGAAGATATTACTATAAGGATTAACCTCAATTATAGACTTTTTATCAAAATATTTTTTTGAATGATGACAGATGGGTTTATACTACAATACTTCCTGATGTAAACGCTTTTTTGTTCTTCTATATTTAGCTGCTTAAAACTCTAATAGTTTTTTACAGTTTAGATCTAATTTTTATAATACCTTTCAGAATTTAGGTCAGAATAGAGACATATTAAGACATTAACGTTAATGTGTAGAAAGAATGCTGAAAATCACTAAAAGTACTGTTATTGTAGTGATAATTTTCTTTAATTCAGGTGAAAGTATTAAAGGAAATTGCTCAAGCTAGAGTAAATAAGTAGTTCATTGGAAATCCCCTTGAGTGATGGAGTTTTATGTATATCCGCAACGACAACCTGAAAATATTTCTCAGTTGACTCGACATCATTGAAATTATCTATACAGACAAAACTAAAGCAGGACATGATACAGCATGAGGAAAAAAGTTCTGAGCACTGAGACTGTTCACAGTATGCATTAGTCTTAACAAATTACTTTATTGAGAATAAAAATAACGGGTAGTTTACTCAATTATTAACATAATTTCCAGTGAAAGTCCTGCTGCCCACCAGCTTAAGTTACATCAGATTAGCTTTTGTTAATTAACATTACAGTCAGTAAACATTATATTTACAATCTGCAAACTGTATGAGCAAACTGATACCCATACAGAACATTTCTACCATTAAAACTATTAATAACAACACAAATTTATTCAGCTTTGATTTTCTTTACTGTGATGCATTCCTCTGGTAGTCATAATTACTTCATACACAATCAGTTATGTTTTTCACTTTATTCGAAAAGCCTCTCACAAAGTTAAAGACAAACACAAAGGCAGCGAGAGAGAGAGAGAGAGAGAGCAAAGCAAAGCTGTGTTCTGTGATAAAAACAAATACAAAAGTGCTGATGATGTAGATTTATCTGTAAGGTGAGGACAAGGAGCAAATGTACTTTCTGAAAACACATTTTTTAATAAGAGAGATGAGGGAATATTTTCCTACAGTCGGACTGAGCGATGATCTGAACATTACAGCATAACATCCCATTTAAAATCCCATTTAAAATGAGTGATGTTCTGGTTTCTCTAATGGCTCATTATTAACGTGAGGCGATCTGTATTCTAGGAGATCACTATTCTGTCTTTGTACACTGTGAGCAACAAAAGAACTTCATACTCCATCTGCAGTCTGATTAGATTACTGATTAAAGCTCAAAAAGCAAAAAATGTAAAACTAATCTGAGTGTGACAGAATTACTGACCAGAGTTCATAAGGAAAGCAGTATTACTAGATTTCCCCTCATACAGCCATACAGTAGTAAAACTGCAAAAAAAATAATTTTATATGGGAAATCCATATGGGCTGATGTCAGTGTAACTTGAAGTAGCTAAGTAACAGCCACTTGCAATAATATATATGAAACTACGTGTCCTTCATGTGTTATTTATTTCATAGGCCACTAGTTAAGCAGCTGGCTTAGTCTCTTTCCTATCATCATGAAACTTATGCCAATAAAACTCTTTAACCGAGGTTAATTCTGCTTTTGAACATGCATACATGTATTGATTCATCATTACAAATCAAAACTACTTTAATGCAGACTTGGATTTGTTCAGGAACAAAACTGGACACAGTGTCATTGGTGAGATTTAGGCCACCTATGTGCTTGATCTAGACACATGGCATCTTTTCTTTTTTCCAAGTTCATTCATTCTCGGGGTCATTTTCTGAGCTGCTGAGCAGAGTGCTTAGCATAATCTTGCAGGCCAGAAAGAACTGTGCCACACGCCTTATCTTGTGTTTGACACATGGGCCTTAAAGCCTCTGAAAAGAGTAATGGAAAGATCATGGATGATTTGCAGTCTGGCTTGTATGCAACATTATGCTGCATAGAATAGACAGATGTAGGCTACACTGAGGAGAGGTCAACAGTATGTCTCTCAGACAACCTGATCTCCTTTATACTACTGTATGTTGTTTACAAAGCTGTACAGTTCTGCCCACCAAAATGTCACTGTTGCAGTGTTTTAGGTCCATATCTCCTCCATTAGAGTCATAAACAAGAACACTCCAAATTTACGGCATTACAAAAATCATCTAAAGATTAAAATAGGGAAGGCCAAGATTCCGTGAGCCAAGCACTGTGTCAAGTGTTTATCAAACACCCATCATGCCATCAGAAACACTATACTAGCTTAGATATACTAAATAAGAAAGCAATCTCTTATGTGGGGCTTCGTGATCGTTTTCAACACACACTATGAATGAAACTAATTTTGGAAGGAATTTGAAGACTTGGTGTTCAGCACAGGAAATTATATTTCAGTTTATGTTCATGTTTTGAAAACAGCATATAACAACAAAAGGTCTGGACTGGAGGCACCGTTTCCTGAACACTTTTACTCCCAGAATGTGTTAAGTTTACAGTCTTTACTGCCCAATTCCATCAGTGCTCTTAGTGCATTTGTGTGTCTTCATAGTATTAGAATGCCTGAAACTCTGTCCACACTCTGAGCAGTGATACGGCTTCTCTCCTGTGTGAATGCGCTGGTGTTTTCGGAGAGTACTCTGTAGAGTAAAACACTTCCTACACTGTGAGCAGTAATATGGCTTCTCTCCTGTGTGAATGCGCTGGTGTTGTTGTAAAGTACTCTGCAGATTAAAACTCTTCCCACATTCTGAGCAGTAATACGGCTTCTCTCCTGTGTGAATGCGCTGGTGTTTTTTGAGATTATTCTGTACAGTAAAACTTTTCCCACACTCTGAGCAGTAATACGGCTTCTCTCCTGTGTGAATGCGCTGGTGTTCTTGGAGAGAACTCTGATGATTAAAACTCTTTCCACACTCTGAGCAGTGATACGGCCTCTCTCCTGTGTGAATGTGCTGGTGTCGTTGGAGATTACTCTGTCGATTAAAGCTCTTCCCACACTTTGAGCAGTGAAACGGCTTCTCTCGTGTGTGAATCAGCTGGTGTTTTTGGAGATGAATCTGCTGATTAAAACTCTTCCCACACTCTGAGCAGCGATACGGCTTCTCTCCTGTGTGAATACGCTGGTGTGTTTTGAGGTTACTCAGTTGAGTAAAACTCTTTCCGCACTCCAAGCAGTGGTGTTTTCTCTTCTTGCTGCGCTTCTTTGTGTGTCTCTGAGATGTGTTCACGTGGAGGGTACCAGTTGACATTAGCTGAGCACCAGAACGTTTTCTGGATGCCATATTCTTATATTCAACTTGTTTCAGCAGCTTAGTATTCCTCTTGGTGGAAAGTCCTGACGTGTTCACAGAAGCACGTTTCAGCTGGGTAGGGAAGTACAGGAGAAGACTTAAAATAGGACATCATTCATTTCTGGAAGAATAAAAAAGAAAATATAAACTCAAAGTGCAATGCAACAAACGTAGTAGATCCAAATCATGAATGCTCTACTTAAATCAACTGGCAGAAAATGTAAAGAAAGAATAAAATTCCATCTGATGTGGAAAAGCCAGTCACCAAATTACTCAAACTCATCATACAGACATATAGATTTCTGAAGTCATGACATCATATTGATATTGGAAACCCTGGTGCTATGCTGGATTTGTTCATTGAAATGACTGGGTTTATTTGAAAACTGTCACCATCACATCTTGTGATTGATAAAATGATTCCAAACTCAATACATTTTATCCCATGTACATTTTTTCTGCTGAATGTTAGTGGATGCTCTCATTTTTACAAAACATAGAAAAATATATATTTGGATACGTCCTACTTATAAACTTTCATTTTCTGAAATGCTATTAAAAATTTAATTTAAGGACAACTATTGAAGTCAAGGCAAAACAGAAAACCAAGAAAGATCTCAGAAAAAACTGCTTGTAGACTGGCCAGGTATGCATAGCAAACCCTCCACATCACTGCCAAAGACCTGCAGGAAGATTTGGCTGTCACAGGAACAGTGATGCAAAGGCCTGCTGTGCAGTGTTCGTTCACAAACATCATCTACATGGAAAGATTATAGATGGTAAACTTATCTGTGATCTCATTACTACTTACATAAGACATTGCAAGTTAACAGCTCTGACATAAACCAGAGGCATTTTGGAATCAAGTACTGTGGCTTAATGAAACAAAAATTGCACTCTTTGGCTACAATCACTATTGATTGAGAACTTTTATTTTAGATTTTTCCTTCAGAGAAATCTGCCATATTTATGTTTATTTTATGCAGATGTTTGAAAAATCAACAAAATGTGTCATTTGACCAGGGGTGCCTAAACTGTAACATAATAATTTTATGAATGTTATAGGAGATGCACACTGTTTTATATTCCTTTTTGTTTTCTGTGTGAAACATGAAATGCTGTTTAAGCTGTTTAGAGGTCTTAGTAGCTTGGTTATGAAGCCAGTTTCAATGAGCATTCTAAGCTTTTGAACAATTTAGTAATATTATCCACTGATCAACTAATTAAAAATATAGTTATATAATATATATTATAGATATATAATATTACCCAAAAGGTCATTCTTTATGACTGATTGCTAAAGTTAGGTTAGTCAGTTTTTTTCCAACTAGCTAAATTATCATATTTATAAAACAGAGAACTTTCTAACTAAAGCCAGAAAGCTTGACAGTAATTGTCTGTTGAGACTGTTCAGTGTGGATGTATTACTGTGGCTAAATCACATACAGTGCAGTTTATGCGTTGTAATGTGGGTTCTGAATTGCTGGTCAAAGAGAACATGTCACTATGTACGTTTTGTCAGTTGAGCTCACATGGTCTATATCTGCAGTCCATTTTTCAATTGGAAGTGATATAGCATCTAAAGACAGCATGAATACATTTTGATATTTGTGATGACACTTTATTGAGGTTTAAGGCTGTGTAGTTTTGAGTAGAGGAAAGAAGTGCAACTGTGAAAGTTTCTAATGTTGATGGTTTTCTCTGTAACTTTTTTGAGTCATATATACTAAAAGTAACAGTGATATGGTGTGTTGTATTTTTTCTTGATGAAGTTGAAGGTCACTTCAGTCCCAGGCTGGTTAGTCCTCTCTGACTACAAGCTGAAAATATGAAGGGTTTATTGTTGATTAGAAACATGGGGCTGTTCTATAAAGAAGTGTGCTGAGAAGGAGAAAAAATGCCATTGAGAATTTCATTACATTTCCAGTAAGCAGTCAGGGTGGCACTCATTGTGTTATGTTTATAACAACTTTGTGATTTTATAGTTTGGTCTATGAAGGGAATGTTGATAATGTCTAATTCTTGAATTAAACTGTTTTCGGTGTTTGATTGGCTTGGGTTACTTGTCCCATGTTGAATGTACCTGGTATGATAAGAAATATTAGTAAAAGTCCTGCAAGATGTTTTGGCTTTTAGAGGATGGATCATTTTGATTGTTGCTTCCTATAGAACCTTATAGCTCCAGTGTCGAGAGAGGAGAAAAGGCCAGAGGGTGGGATGACAGGGGTCTCGGAAAACAGATAATTAATTTTAGGGAAAATGTTAATTTTAATTGTGGATATTCGGCCAATTTAAGATCAGGGTAGTTCCATCTTGCTACATTGTTTTACACTTGTCGCAGTAAAGGCCACAGGGGGGCCATGACAACAGCCACGAGAGGCCTGAAGGTGGGAAACTGAGCTCTGCCGCAAAACTACAACTTATGTTTGACCCTTGTCTTCTATTTTTTACCTTATACATACGCAAAAAAAAAACATACTCAAAAACATAAACAATGATATGTCTAAAAAACAAATAAATAGGGGAAAAGTATTATTGCTGCAAAATAAAAATGGTCTTGTGCAAATTGCACCTGGTGTCACTATAAAAGATGTCGCCATTTGTTGGGAAAATTTCACATAATGGAGTAGCAGTCATGGTGAAGGAGCTTTCTAAAGTTCTCTGGGACATCATTATTAAACAGCACTTGTAGCTTTTTCCATACAGAGCCCTAGCAAATACCTCCCTCTCAAATGGTTTGATAATATGCAATTGGAATAATATGCAATTATTCATGGAACCACAACTAATGGTGCACAATGCAATTTGTAACAGTTTTTAGTAGTCTAAATGTGCATGGAGTGGACCTGCAGAGTGCCTTGTCACAACCCTACAACATATTCTAGTTTTGACATAACAATAACATAACTTGGTGGAACTTCGTCAAGCTTTATCAAGCCTTTATTTAAACATTGCTGCTACTTTTTCAAAACTGCGACATGCATCGAATGAATTTTTAGTTTTTTTTCTCAGCAATAATTGACTACAGTGACACAGCCATATGACATACAGACTGGAAAACAGGTGTTGCAGGTTTGAGACAGGGCACTACAGGGGCATTTTAAAAATAACCATCTATTAAAATTGAGGAACTTGTGAAAATCAGTGAACATGAACATCATCATCAACATCAGCAGGTTTCAAGTCTTTAAAACTAACACCAACAGGCTCCTCATCTCTGTGAATGTTTTCCGTTTTTAAATTGTACCCGCACTTTACAGACGGTCCCTTCCGGCTATTTTGATCCAATGTACTCGAGGAAATGGAAAAATAGGAAACTTCGACAAATTACAGTGACTGTAATTTGTTCTCTGATACATCACGACTTACAAAATGTCATTTCAGAGGTTTTAGGAGGTTGTTTGTGAGCAGTAGAAGGGGAAAAAGGCAAATCTCCGCTGAATCTCCAATATCAGCCTATCGCAAGTTAACAGAGCTGCAGCTGTTCTGTTGTGCAGTGCGGCTCTTCTCCTTACTCACTTCACTCCCTCATTCAGTACCGCTAGCCTCCTTTGTTATTTTAGCCTGTGTATGCTTATATAGACACAGACGAGGCTCCTTTAAGATGAGCTAACTAGCTTAGTAGCGTTTGTCTGAACAGACGTGAATCACAGCTGACTAAATGTGCTGATTTAAACACTCACTGTGCTGCTGTGGTCGGATTCCAGCAGGAGAGGATCATCTGAAAGCTGTGCTGCATCAGATTGAGCGCGCAGTCACTCCAACACGGATCAGACACTAACACCAGCTGTGTGAAGACACCAACACCAGCGAGGTCAGACCAATAGCAATCGAAGTGTGCTTTTCAAAATAAAAGACTCCATTGATTAATACCTCTTAATATTAGCAAACATGCATATTAATATTTTATTTTTAAAATATTTTAATATGTTTTAATTGTTTTATATCAAACAATAATCACATATGTACAGTGATTATTGTTTGATATAAAACAATTAAAACATTTAAAAATATTTTTAAAATCATTTAATGTTAATTTTACAAAATAAGTTATAAATATAATATGTAGCTATATATAATGTATAATGAATGATAAGGAACGTTTTTAGTGGTTTTGGTAGTTTTTCTCTTCTTTTTTAATTTTTAAATTCTGAAAAATCTGTTCTCAGACTCAATCTTGTCTTGGTTTTATAAGCACGTTAGTGCTTTATTAAACCTAAAGCTGCTGCTTATGTTCTGTTATCAGTGCATGCCAGCTAGCTAGTTAATTTAGCTAACATGAGCTAAGCTAATAGGCAGTAAAACTTTTTGCCTCAGATATGAAACAGAAAGATGTGTAATAAACGTACTAACAGAACATACTGTGATCAGTCTCAGCTCTCAGACTTTACCTTTCAGTAGTAATGACAGATTTTAATTTCATTTTGTTTGGGTGTATTATTTTCAATGATATCGCTAGCTAACTCAGGAATGTTCTTACATTTGGACTTTTCACAAATTAAAAAAGACTCAATATATAACTTATTTACTCTTACTTTTTTCAAATTTTCTTTATTATTTTTTTTGTATTTTGGTACATCATTTCTTTAGGGTTTTTTGTTTCTAATGTGTTTCACTTTATTATACTATTCCTGATCATCATTCATTCCTAGTTCATTAGTAATGAGTTACCATGTGTTTCACTTCATACTGTTCCTGATCATCATTAACTCTTAGTTCATTAATAATGAGTCACCATTGTTTCATTTTATATTGTTCCTGATCATCATTAGCTTCTAATGAAGAACAGCAACACCTCATTCATTATCTAACAGACAGTAATTACATAGTCACTTGGTAATATTTAGAATAAAGTGAATTTGAAGGCATGACACATACACAGTCAGATATTTCTGTGACCCCTCTCTTCAACTGACCCTGCCCTCAAGAGGACTTTAAAGGAGAACTACTGTTCAGAAGAAACATTGGCACACGTGGTCCTGCAGAAAAGAATGGTGTTTTCTTTTCTAAAGATGAGAGATAAGCAGACTGGTCTACTGAATACTGTAGTATTTTAGCAGTTGTCCCATTTATAGAATGATGTGCAGATTGGTTCACACTGCAAAATATGAATATGTGCATTAGCCTTTTATGGTTTCTGATCAAAACAAACACATGAGGGACACCAGTCAGTACAGTGTGGTGTGATGCCCCCAGCCTTCTCTGAGGATACCTGTTTCTGTGAATAGAAATGGAGGATATAGTCCATTATATTGTAGAGACTGCACACTGTGTAGTGTATTTCACTACTGTTAGAAGTGTTGGAATACACTACATCAGTTAGTAGTCCAGCAGGAGCTTTGTCAGCCTCAGCTATTGAGCAATTAATGTTGCATTAATCTGTCATTTATGAGTAGTTATTCTAGGGAAGTAATTCTCTATGAGACTCAGTAGTTACTATTTAGTTAATAGTGAACTACCCTAATCATTAGTTCACTATTACCTACTAAGTATTTAACTAGTAGTCCTTGGTTCAACCCCACGGTTTCCCATAGGATGATGTTCTGTGGTGTACGATTTAGCAACACCAGCCAGCTTACACAACTCTGTGATTAACTTACTCTCAAAGTTGGTCCCTTGTTCTGTGAGTATTTATTCTGGGAACCCATATACACAAAACATGTGATTACATAGCTACCTGTCTGGCAGTTTAATTGGTGTAAGGTAAAGTACTGGCCAGTTTTATGAAGTGATCCATAATGACCAACACAACCACTAAATTCTGCTTGCTATTCCCAGCACTTCAAAAGTCTAGACGTACTAATTCCATAGGCACAGAAGTGTTTTTGCTTTTCGTGTGGGGCTCTGGCAGACGGGTTAGGGGTTTTTGCAAATATGTATCTTTGGCAACATCTGATGTACAGTTTAACATCTTGTTCCAACCTAGCCAAAAGAAACATTGCTTTGCCAAATAAAGCATCCTGGCTTGCCCTTGATGTCCTGCAAGATCATGGATTCCATGCAATGCCTTATCTTTCAGGCTTTTAGCAAGTACTAGTTGGTACTGTCTTTGCTTAAGGGGTCTTTTGGTATTCAATAGAGCACTCCGTCTTACAATTTCAGTGTATCACAATGCTTGGCTAAAGCTAAGGCTCAAAACCAGCCCTTTCATGTCTAGTTGGTTCTCGCTTGCCCTTCACAAAAAGAATGGTCTTAGACATGGAAGGATCTTCCTGTTGTTTCAGTTGCAACTGCCCAAGGAAACCACTGAGTGTGTGCCTTGGAAATTGATTAAAAGCCTGTATCATCTGTTTGCTTCTAGCCTCAGCTGCAGCTTCTCACTGGTTATGAGCTACATAAAATGCTTTGGCTGCTTCAGCATTACAGGTTCCCATGAAATGGTCTGGGGCACTCACTAGCTTGGGCTTTCACTTGCTGACAATGAGCTCTTAAAAAAAAGACATCCTGAACTCCCTTTTTCACCAACACCACTAGCCTCAGCTAGCAGAGAGTCATTACGTTCACTAAGTAGCCACTGACTAACAGTTCTAGCAAAAGAGTTCCTGTTGAGAGCATCTGCCACGGCATTCTTACTGCCCACAATGTGCTTCAAGTCAAAGGGGGTGAGATTTGCAATCCAATGTTGTTGGCAGGCATCTAGAATCAATTTTGTCAATACACACCAATGTGCCAGAAGTCATGGGATAGCAGTATGTAAATTGTGGCATTACCTCAGGGGATGGCTTGGGAACACTCACACCTGTATAAGTTCTGAGGAGTTATCATGTGAGTGAGGCTGAAAACTGGCAAGGTGCTCATGGCAAGGCAACGTGAATTATCAGAGTTTGAACTTCAAGTTCCATTTATGAAGTTGTGCAGGCATTTAACATGCCTCAGTCCACACTGTTGTGTGTACTGGGAACACGTCATGGAAGGCATTACCACCCACAGTGGACAGCACAGTGGCCGCCCGTGAGTGCTTAACGATCATGACCAGCAGCATCTGGCTGAAATTGTCTGTGCAAACAGGCAAGCGACTCTGGCAGAAATCACATCCACATTCAGCGCAGGAGGCTCCACATGCATATCCTGCTGGTCAGAGCAGCATTCTTCAGCTTCCATAGGAAATAGGAGCAGAAGGCCATCCAGAGAGCCTCTATTGACAACACAACACCAGACACAGTGCCTCCCCTGGGCTTGTGAGGTTGCTAACTGGACTCTAAACGACTGGCATCATGTGGCATGGTCCGAAGATTCACAGTACCAATTGTTTTGGGCTGATGGTAGGGTTTGTCTGTGGCGCAAACCCCATGAAGCCATAGACCCCAGTTGTCAACAAGGCCCTGTGCAGACTGGTGGTGGTTCCATACTAGTGTGCACTGTGTTTTCATGGCATGGGTTGGGTCCACTGGTCCACCTAAACATGTCATTGACCTGTGATTGTTACATTTCATTGCTTGGTAACCATTTGCAGCCCTTCATGGACTTCATGTACCGCCGACAAAGATGGGGTATTCCAGCAGGATAATGCACTGTGACATCGGGCCCAAGTTGTACACAATTGGTCCGAGGAGCATTCAGTGAAGTTCTGATAAATGGTGTGGCCTGCACGTTTGCCCAACATGACTTCTATAAAGCATTTATGACATGTGGGGAAGAGGTCCATTCGCACCCAAGATCCTGCATCTACAAATACCATGGAGCTGTGGGTGGAAATCCACATGGCACGGCTCAACATCCCTCCAGACGTCTTCCATTCCATGTGGAATCGATGCCATGCCTAGTTGCTGCACTTTGCCAGGCTAGAAGGGGTCCTACATGATACTACTTCCTGTTCCATGACTTTTGGCACATCAATGTATATGGTTACTCTCTGTCCACACCGTAAATAAATACATGCTCCACTTCAAAGCTAGAAATTCAAGTCAGTGGGCAGGGTATTTCTTTTGTGAGCTGCTGAGCATCTTGCTTGCAATAGCAATAGGGCATGCACTGTCCTCTCCAGTGAGTACATGTGACAAAACTGCACCAAGACCATCCAATGAGGCATCAATTAAAAGGATAATTGGCTTTGAGAAGTCTGGATGGGTGAGAAATACGCAACACAACAGTTTCTCCTTGAGGGTAGCAAAGGCTGAATCACCTTCCTCTGTCCCATCTGAGGGTGTAGTCACCTTAAGCTAACTGTACCTTGCAATCTATGCTTTTCCTCTCCTTTTTCTCCAGCCATCAGGGCAAACGCAAAATAATGTAATAAAGTGTCATTCCAGGAGAAAACTCTTATCACACTCACACTCAAGACAGCAACACCACTGCCATCTATTACATGCCCAAGAAACTTGACAGAAGTGTGCAGGAAATTGTACTTTTTAGGGCTCAGTTTGAGGTTATGTTGGTGCAATCTTTGGAACACCACTTTTGGTCTTGCTAAAGCTTTCCTTTCACTAAGGGCAAATGCTAACAAGTTATCCTAATAGCAGAGCAAACTGCTGATAATTCAGATCACCAAAAGTACTTAGCGCCATCTGCATGAAAGATGCAGGACTGTTACATAATACCTAAAGGCATCTTATTGTACTTATGAAGACTTAATGTGGTAGTAAACACGATGTATCTCTTGTGTTCTTTACACACAGGGATATTATAAAAGCCTGATGTCAAGTTCATGGTGCTGAAGTATGTGTTGCCCCCTAGTGTCACCAAGCAATCAGACTGGCATGGGAGTGGGTGTGCATCTGAAATCAGTACATATCAGACTCCCATCCTTTGTCCACACCATAACTAAAAGAAAGGCATATTCACTCAAAGATTTCCTGATTATGCCTTGCTCTTCCATGTCTGTCAGTGCTTGCCTTAGCTTTTGGTAGTGAGCAGGAGGGACTCTTCAGTATGGGAGATGGAACTGTCTTTCACTGCTAAGGTGGATGCAGTGTTCAAATCCCTCTGCTTTGTGGATAAACAAAAATGTAACATCATTACAGTAGATTTCCAACAAACTACTTGTTTACTCTTTATTGTTTATTTATTTTATTAACATTTTTAAGTGTGCTCAAGTAAATGATCACTACAGTACTTTTACCTAAATAGAGTTTTTATCACTCTTTTTTTGGAATCTGCTCTCTGAGGAAATGGCTGAAGAGTAGGACCTGAACCTACAGATTGTCACTAAAGATCCATGGAGGAGGAGGTTCTAGCAGAAGAATAAACAGAACAAGACAATAAAACAAGGAATTGTATGTATGCATGTATGCAATTGCTGGTAAGCTTACAGAAAAAGAGAACAAACCGTTCCTAAATTTTTATGTAAATGAATGTAGAGACAATTCGCTTCAAGTAATTGTGAACAACTTCCTCTGGTTCATTAACCATGATATGTTCACAAAATGTTAAGAGCATTTGTCATTTTCACATAATGTAAAACAATAACATTAACATTTACATTTAGGGCATTTGGCAGACGCTCTTATCCAGAGCAACTTACAATTTGATCATTTTACGTAGGTAGGCAAGGGTAGTGTTAGGAGTCTTGCCCTAGGACTCTTATTGGTATAGTGTAGGATGTTTGATGTTTGATACGACATTGATGTTACATTATATCTTTTAAGGAATTGCGGTTGCTTCTGCTTCTCTGTGGAGTTGCTTCTGAAAGGAACATCACAGACCCCCACCTGACCCCACTTCCATATCTAGTGAACTGTAACTCATGATTCTCTCTCATTCTCTCTCTTTCCCACTTATCTACGCTCTATGTGTTCCCCTTTCTTCATTTCTATTCTACACCTTAAGGCATTATTTGGAACATTTAAGTACATTTTAGCATAGATTCTTTGATGAAATGAAAATGAGTTTGATATGAATTCATTGCCAATTAATTACTTAATAAGTAATAGACTAGTTTGAATTTACCTAGAGAAAGCCCTCTGAAAACATATATCACGTTACTTCCACACCCTGTTTGTGCTTTTGTTTGTTTGTGTTTGTCTTTTTAGGTGATATTTGTGTCTTTTTCATTTCCATCTCTCTATTACTTTTCCATACTTTTCATTTTCCCACTATTACCTTTCCCATATTCCCCCCTGAAGCTCAAACCGTCCTCATTCCGTATACACTGACTGGAGAAATCAATCGTAGCAGCGGTTTTTGAGGTGCATGTATTGGCGTACTGTAAACAACCGGTTAGAAGTTAAAATGTGTCTATTGCAGGCTCTATGTTTGCACTGAGAACTTAATTGTCTGACTGTAGCATGTCTTGTACTGTATTTTAGTCTCCATTGGTTTCTTTCATGAACAAGTAATGTCACCTAAAAATAAGATGTACTGTGTTCCTAATAATGTTCCAGATGTTCCTTACATACCTCACTCATCATGTTAATAGTTTGGATTTTATTACCAATACAATGTAGATTTAAATAATCTGAATCATAAACCAGAAGTTACTAAATGATTAATTATATAATGATCTGTTGACCCTTCCTGGTTCGGGGCCTTGTCGTGACGGAAGGGCTTGTATTGTCTAGAGATCTTCAGAGCTAAATCATCTGGAGCAGTATGATCCTTGTAAGGTCTGCCAAGGTGTACAGGTCTGCAATAAAGACTCAGACCAACTCAATCCAAAACCCCCCAAGATCAAGCAACACAAGATACTGTGTACCCTGCCCAGGAAAGGGTCACTAGGACCTACCCCTGGAGCCAGGCCTAAAGGCAGTGTTCCACTGCAAGTGCCTGGTGACCAGGTGGCCCATGTAACTGGGCAGGGCTCAACAGGCAACATGGAAAGACCATGTGGGCCAACCACCTGCAAGGTCCAGCACGGGGGACCAGTGCAGTGCAGTATACATGGTGGGAGATGGCGGGGAAGCCCTTGGCGGCATGGACACTGCAGTGGAAAATGGCTCTTTGCACATGGAATGTAACCCTCATTGAGGGTGAAGGAGCCGGAGCTTATGCAGGAGGTTGAGAGGTACCTACTAGATATAGTTGGGCTCACATCTCCCTCACAATGTTGGCTCTGGAACTCCCAACTGTTGTTTGTGCTCATGCATCAAACAACAGTTGGGAGTATTCAGCCTTCCTGGAGTGAATGAGTTGGCTTCTGGAAAGGGCCCCACCTACAGACTCCACAGTCTTGCTGGGAGACTTCAATGCCAACGTTGGCAGTGACTGGGAAACCTGGAGGGGGTGATCGGGAAGAACTGCCTGCCCAATTTGAACCTGAATGGTGAATTGTTGGACTTCTGTGCTAGTCATGAATTGTCCATAACAAATACCAATTTCGAACACAAGGATGTTCAGAAGTGTACTTGGCACCAGAGCTCTTTGGGTCAGAGATCAATGATCGACTTTTTTGTCAATCAGATTGACAGATTTGTCAGATGGCAGGCAAGACTGGCGGTCAGACCTGATAGGCTTAACTGAATAGAGAGGGTGTACTGGGAATGACTGGTAGAAGCCCCTGTACAGAAGGATTTTTAACTCCCACCTCCAGGAGAACTTTTCTCATGTGCCAGAGGAGGTAGAGGACATCAAGCACAAATGGAGTTAATATCAATATCAAATGGAGTTCAATATGTCCATTGTGGAAGCTGCCAGGTGTAGCTGTGGCCAAAACCTTGTTGGTGCCTGTCAAGGCGGCAACAACCCAAGAATCCCCTGGTGGACACCGGTGGTGAGGGAGGCCATCAAGCTGAAGAAGGAGACTTTTAGGGACTGGCTGGCCGAGAGGACTCCTAACTCAGCAGGTGGGTACAGCAGCGGAAGCTGAAGCAAATTCCAGACCATGGAAGGCGTTTAGAGAGGCCATGAAAAAAGACTCTCAGTTGGTTTCAGACATTCTAGACAACTGTCTGTGACTCAAGGGCAGTCGGACTGGCTTCGCTCAACATTTGATATTCTTGGTTAGTGAAAGAAGCACTTTGAAGAACTCTTAAACACAAGAGACATGGCCCTAAATAAGTGGTCCCTATTTTTAAGAAATGGGACCGGAGAGTGTGCCAATTACCAGAGTATCAAACTGCTCAGCCTCCCAGGGAAATTTTATGTCAAGGTGCTGGAAAGGAGACTCTGACTGAGGAGGAACAATGCGGATGCGGATTCTGTCCCAGCCATGGAACAATGGATCAGTTTTTCACCGTTATGCAGATTGTTGAGGGGGCATGGGAGTCAAGTCTATATGTGTTCTGTGGACTTGGAGAAGACTTAGGACTGTGTTTTCCAAGATACTGCTGGAGATCCTTAGGGAATATGGGGAGCTGGGACCACTACTACAGGTGGAAGGGTTTAATTATCTCAGGGTGTGATTCACGATTGATGGACAAAAAGGATTGTGAGATTAGCCGCAGGCTGTGACATGCAGTAGGAGTAATGTAGTCACTGTACTGGACTGTAGTAGTGAAGAGGGTGCCTAGCCATAAGGCAAACCTCTTTGTTTACCAGCCTACATCCCAACCCTCACCTATGGTCATGAGCTGGGTAATGACCAAAAGAATAAGATCGCAAATACCAAACAGTGGAAACGAGCTTTCTTCGCAGGGTGGCAGGCTACATTCTACGTGATAGGATGAGGAGCTTGGTCATCCAGGTTGAGCTCAAAGTGGAGCAGCTGAGGTGGTCTGGCATCTGATTAGGATGCCCCAGGCCACCTCCCGTTGGATGTTTACCAGGCATGGCCTACTAGGACAAGACCCCAAGGTTGTAGGATCTCTAGCCAGAGTTTAGTATGTTTCAGAATTTGATCCAGATTTGATCACTACTTTGCAAATGAAAGGAATTCTGGCTATCCATGTTATTACAAGATCACTCTTCATACTCTACAGCCTTCTAACTCATTTTACAATCATATATCATTGTGGACACACCTAACATTTCATTTTTACAGTGTCTTACAAATGATTCTAAATGTAAAATGTTGTAGAGTACTAGAATCACATCATTTTTTGGATGTATCTGCAGCTTAACTCTTATTATTAAAACATTGATTGTAGACTATTGTAGGCAGTTCTCCACCACCCCGAGAAAGCAGCAGGTTTTAGAAGGCTGGAGCATTTGAACTGAAATAAACATTTACTCCAGTGAGCTGAAAGCAGCACCAGAATCTCCTAAATCCTGAAAGCTTTCTATTATAAAGATTAGGTAGAAATACAGAATAATATCACAATTTAGAGTAAGTGAATATAGAAGTATACAAATGCACAGTAGGAAGTACTGTAGTATTAAGATACATGTGTCATTTGTTTGATAGGCCACTAGTTAAGCAGCTGAATTAGTCTAGTTCTTAGACTGTAAAAAGAGCAAAGAGAATCAGAGAGACAGAGAGAGACTACATCACAACATTCACGACTGCAGCACTTCATGAGTGACTCACATTCACAATTCAACCATTCTGGAAGAAGAAAAACTCTTACTGCACGTGCAGTTCTTCACTCACTGCAGTGTTTCTTCTTTTTGGGTGCTAAAATACTGACACTGAGAAGACTGACAAACACAAAACACCAACTACAGCCTTAGTCTCTTTCCTTTAATACAAATATGAAATAGCACTTCTTACCTTTATATAAAATAAATACAAACATATAAATTTTGTTTTAAAATATATTATAAACATAGTATGCTGAAATGCTAAAGATTTCCAGCATAATTCACTATGTACAACCAACCTCCCTTTCTGTATAACTGTATAGCTCCTCTGAACCACAATACTTATTTATACAACTGTACAATGTTCAGATCATCTTGTTATATACTGCAAATAAGTTTTCTTTCTCAGACTCACATATTGACATATTACATATTCATCTCTTTAGCTCCAATCGCATTCGCACTTTTATATCTAATCTTTTAATATTTGTTCTATGAACTGTATTTTTATTTATTATTCAATAGAAAACATTTATTTTGTAATCTTTTGTATTCTGTGCATGTGTCTAATCTAATCTAGTCTGTTTAATGTCTAATCTAATCTGTTTAATGTTACATGTGTGCACTCACTATGAGAGATTGCTTTTATGTGTAACAAGCTTAGTGAAATAAAATGATTCTGATTGTGAATTAGATTACCTTATGAAAAAATAAAAACGTGTATCCATTTATTAGTTTATATAGAGTGATGGAACGGCTGTATCGCCAGCCAGTTTTGTCAGAAAGAACTGAGATGTCCTGATCTTGCTGGATCTCACATCTCACAACTAATTAGGTTAATTAGCAACAGGTCGGTAACATGCACGGGAATAAAAAGAATATCCCGGACAGACTGAGTCTGGGGAGGGGTTGACCATTTTTGTGCAACTCAAATAGAACTTTTCTTAGCATAAAGTACCAAAGAACTTGGGGATTATCATCTTTGGTAAATAAAATGGTTCTAAGATTCAGAGAATCTGGAGAAATCTCTAAGCAAGAGACCGAAAACCAATGTTGGTCTGACCTTCGAGCACTCACTGCATCACAAACAGACATGTTTCTTTAGTGAAAGCCACTGCATGGGCTCAGGAACATTTCCAAAAAACACTGTCTTTGAACACAGTTTGTTGCTGCATCCACAAATTAAGTTAAAACCCTACCCAAAAAAAAGTGGCTGCCTTCTTTAGGGCCTGAGCTGATAGGGAGGGAGGAATAGATTGGGTAAAGTAGACACTTAGATGCAAATTTGCATTGTTATCTAACTAGAGGTGCAGCAATGGTCTGCAGAAAATTGGTTCATCCAGTTTTTCCACAATAGCCTTTCCTCAAAAAAACCTTACAATATGCCATAGCATATTTCTAAACCTAAAAACTTGCCAAAGTTTGGTGGAAAGTGTAAATTGTTACCCATTTCTCAAACCCAATACAAGATGAAATGTGTAAGATCTCAAATAATGTGTGGAACTAGAAATGTAAACCTAACATTTTGTTGCCTTTGAATGGTGAGTGAGTTAGAATGGTGAGCCTACATGTCAGGTGTTATTTTGCACATTGGTTATATTTTTAAGCACATTTTTTTGTAAATTAGACAATTTACATACAAAACATGTAATTGTAAATCAATATAAAAACTAGTAATGCAGACCTAGATTGTGCACACTTATGTTCCTGAACCAGTGTCATTGGTGCAATTCAGTCAACAAAGATAGTGTCCCTCATTGACATCCTAATGACATCCTGCTCCAAGTTAGGCCCAAGGCCTTAACTCATCACAACGCCTTCTCAAAAAACAAGTGCCACAAAGAACATCAAGATGAGTACAAAAAAAGTTTCATGGAAAGTTCATGAGCTGTAGTCTGGCCTGTATGCAACTTTAGGCCACATGAAACAGGCATGCACAGACCATACTGAGCAGAAGTCACCAGTATGTCACTCAGATATCATGATGTCTTGCAGTCCTTCATACTCCTGTGACTCCTTTACAACACTGTTTAGTTCTGCCCACCACTGCAAAAACTTAAATGTTTCAGTTTTCAGGGTCACATCTCCTTTGTTACAATCCTCAACAAGAACACTCCAAATAAAAAGCATACAGAAAACATCTGAATATTAAAAAGGTAGGATAATGTGGTAATTTAATTGCCACAAGCATTAACCAGAGTTTCTTGATTGTCTCTAACATACATTACAAACAAAAATCATTTTGAAAAGAATATGCAGAGGTATATATATCTTTCTTGTATACATTTTTTGATATCTACTTGTAAGATTGCATGGTTTTATATAACAAATATGGCCACAATTCATTTTACATGAACATTTTCCAACTTTTCTTTATCTCTTAGAATGAAACAGGCTGCTTTTGCTACAGTGTCTATAAGACTGATCGTAGTTAAATGAGCTCTGTTCTGAGTGGCTGTCCTGTATTTAGCCTCATTCATAAAAGCATTTAGAGCTGAAACATTCCTTAGAACTTCAATATGAACAGGTGTTGCTAAACTGGAGTAAGCTGAATAGGTGGATGTATGTAGATGTGTTGGTTCCTGTGACATGACAGAAAAAAAGGAAGTCAAAACAGGCAGTTTTTGCAGCTTAGTTTCCATATATGAACTGGGTAGGGAAAATGGGCTTTTCCATGAAATGGACCCTTCCCTTTGATACAGTGCCCATTTCAACCACTACGCTTAGAGCACTTGTGTGTTGTCAAAGTCCTTGAATACCTGAAACTCTTTCCACATTCTGAGCAGTTATACTGCTTCTCGCCTGTGTGAATGCGCTGGTGTTTTCGGAAAGTATTTTGTAGACTAAAACTCTTCCCACACTCGGAACAGTCATATGATTTCTCTCTTGTATGAATGCGCTGGTGTTGTTGGAGATTACTCTGTACAGTAAAACTCTTTCCACACTCTGAGCAGTGATACGGCTTCTCTCCACTGTGAATGCGCTGGTGTTGTTGGAGATGACTCTGTTGACTAAAATTCATCCCACACTCTGAGCAGTAATACGGCTTCTCTCCTGTGTGAATGCGCTGGTGTTGGTGGAGATTACTCTGGACAGTAAAACTCTTTCCACACACTGAGCAGTGATACGGCTTCTCTCCTGTGTGAATGCGCTGGTGTTGCTGGAGTGAAATCTGTACAGCAAAACTCTTCCCACACTCCGCACAAGAATACGGCTTCTCTCCTGTGTGAATGCGCTGGTGCTGTTGGAGATGACTCTGTCGATAAAAACTCTTCCCACACTCTGGGCAGTAGTACGGCTTCTCTCCTGTGTGAATGCGCTGGTGTTGTTGGAGATGACTCTGTACGGTAAAACTCTTCCCACACTCTGAGCAGTGATACGGCTTCTCTCCTGTGTGAATGCGCTGGTGTTGTTGGAGATGACTCTGTACGGTAAAACTCTTCCCACACTCTGAGCAGTGATACGGCTTCTCTCCTGTGTGAATGCGCTGGTGCTGCTGGAGAGTACTTCGTCGATTAAAACTCTTTCCACACTCTGAGCAGTGAAACAGCTTCTCTCCTGTGTGAATGAGCTGGTGGTGTTGGAGATGACTCTGTTGATTAAAACTCTTCCCACACTCTGAGCAGTAATACGGCTTCTCTCCTGTGTGAATGCGCTGGTGTATTTTGAGATTACTTCGTAGAGTAAAACTCTTCCCACACTCCAAGCAGTAATGATTTCTCTGCTTCCTGCGTTTCTGTGTTTGTCTGTGAGATGTGTTCCTGTGGACGTTACCAGGTGACGTTTGCTGAGTACTGGAACATCTTCTGGATGCCATATTCTTATATTTAACCTGCTTCAGCAGCTAAACTTTCCTCTTGGTGGAATGTCCTGATGCGTGTGATTACGGAAGCACATTTATGCTGGCTAAGGATGTGCCAGAGAATACTTGAAACAGGACATCATTCATTTCTGGAAAAAGAAAAAAGGACAAATAAACTCAATGTGCAATGCAAAAAAAGTTGGATCCATCATCAAGTTGGATCAATCATGAATGCTCCATTTACATCAACTGGCAGAAAATGTAAAGAAAGAACAAACCTCAAAAAATCTGATGTAAAAAAGCCAGTCTCCTAATTACTCAAACTCTTCAAACAGACTTACAGACTACTGAAATCAAATTGTCTAGCTGATATTGGAAATTCCAAGGCTAAGCTCTGTGGAATTATTTGAAAACTTCCACCATCACATCCTGTGGTAAACAAATTGATTCTAATCTTGATACATTCTGTCCTATGTAAATTTTTCCACTGAATATTACTGGAACCTCTGCTTCATTTTTTACCCAAGTCCACAGGCTCATCAATGAGCTGTTTAGAGGTCTTAGTAGCTTGGCTATGAAGCCAGGTTAAGTGACCACTCAGAGCTTTAGAACAGTTTAGTAATACTACCAACCAACTAATTTAAAATAGACTTTTCCACCCAATACAGTAAGAGTCAAAGTTTGGGGCTCCAAGTCCTGCAAGAAATTTAAGCTTTTGGAGGGTGGATCATTTTGATTGGTGCTTCCAGAAGAACTTTATAGCTGCACGGTTGTGAAAGGAGAACCAGCCAGAGGGTGGGATGAAAGGGCTCACAGAAAACAGATAATTCATTTTAGGGAGGATATTCATTTCAATTGTAGATATTTGGTCAATTAAATATAAGACTAGTTTGTTCTGTTTTTCCAGATTGTCTTTGATTTCTTGCAGTACAGAAGAACAATTTGTTTTGGGGAGATGTGAAAACCAAGAAACTGAGCCACATGTTTAGATGGTGAGTCCAAGACCTCAACATCCCATTTAAATTTGCTTAGGGACAGAAACTCAGATTTTGACCAGCTGATGGAGTAGCTAGACTCCCTAACCCTACAGCTGCTGATCAGATTAACTAATGTATCCAGCTTAATTAGCTAATTTATCTAACCTCCAGAGCAGCAAGCTAGCTACTCGAGTAGTAAGATAAACTATCTAGCTTTCTAAAATAAAGTAATGAAAAACATTTTTAACGTTTAATTTCTGAAATGGTGATGGTTACTGCAGTGAGAAAGGCGACAGTGAGGCAGAGGCACAAACAAACAGAAAGACAACAACAAACAGCTTCTGCAGAGAGAGAGTGCAGTAAACACAGTGAGTGAAAACAAATATTCAGACACTTTTGTATTTGTTACTTAATATACTTCCAGTGCATATAGGCACTTAAAATTTACACATGTAACAGTAATATCTTTTGACTTTGCTCTTATAAATACACAAAAAGAACATATTCATAAGTATAAACAAAGATCTGTCTAAAAACCAAAAGAAGAGGGAAAAAGCATTCTTAAGATGTTCTTGTGCAAATTGCACCTGGTGTCCTTATAAAAGATGTCGCCATTTGTTGGGAAAATTTCACACCACAAGTAGCAATGGTGTAGGAGCTTCATAAAGCTCTCAGGGACATCATTATTAAACAACGATTGTATGGAAAAAGCTACAGAGCCCTAAGGAACAAGCATGTAGTGGACCTGCAGAATACCTTGTCACAACCCTACGGCACATTCTAGTTTTGACAAAACAACAACATAGCTTGGTGAAACTGTATCATTCTTTAATAAGCCTTTAATTCAAAAATTGCTGCTACTTTCTCAAAATTGTGACATACAGTGGAAAGACTTAACCCAAACCTGCTTTAACTTAATACGATATGTCCATGTGTCACACAGATCTAAAATCACTTCTAGTGCACAAAGACACATTTGACAAACATACTATAACTTTGGTTATGCATTGGTTGAATTTTTACAACTTTTTCTTAGTAATATATGACTACAGTGACGCATATGAGTACAGTGACACATGCATATGACTACAGTGACACATGCATATAACGTACAGACTGAAAAACAATAGTCATTTACCAAAAAAAGTGTTATAGGTTTGGGACAGGGCAATCTGTAGGTCCACTACATGGACTTTTAGACTGTTAAAACTGCTAAAAAATAACCATCTATTAAAATTAAGGAACTTGTGAAAATCAGTAACTAACATGATCATCATCTGTGTAATTCAGCAGGTTTCGAGTCTTCAAAACTAACACCAGCAGGGTCCTCATCTCTGTGAATGTTTCCCGTTTTTAAACCGTATCCGCACTTCAAAGACGGTCCCTTACCCTCTTCGGCGCTGCTGCAGCACTTCAGGCTATTTTGATTAAATGTACTCGGAGAAATGTAAAGTTTTGACGAAATACAGTGATTGTAGGTTGTTCTCTGTTTCACCACGACTTAGAAAATGTAATTTCAGAGGTTTTAGGTTGTTGTTTGTGAGCAGTAGGAGGGGAGAAAGACAAATCTCTGCTGAATCTCCAAAATCAGTCTAACTTTAAGTTATCAGAGCTGCAGTGCGGCGCTTCTTCTTATTCACTTCACTCCCTCATTCACTACTAGCCTCCTTTGTTATTTTGGCCTTTGTGTGCTTATAGAGACACAGATTGGACTCCTCGAGATGAGCTAACTAGCTTAGCAGCGCTTATCTAAACAGACGTGAATCACAGCTCTACATAACACAGCTGACTAAATCAGCTGATTTACATTGTCTGTGCTCTTACTGTGCTGCTGTGGTCGGATTCCAGCAGGAGAGGATCATCTGAAAGCTGTGCAGCATCAGATTCAGCGCGCAGTCACTCCAATACGGATCAGACCCAACACCAGCTGCGTGACAACAACACTAGCAGCTCAGACCGACGGCAACCGAAAGTGTGCTTTTCAAAATAAAACACTACCGCTTAATGCCTCTCTTTCTGTAATGTTCTAAAACTACGGAGCCCCGATGGTGACATCGTGTATAAATAAAAATAATGCGTGGCCACGACTTAGTAAGGCGTGGGAACGAGATCACGGCTTACTAAGTCGTGGCCACGCATTAGGATCTCATTCCCACGCTTTACTAAGTCATGGCCACGACTTAATCATCTCATTCCCACGCCTTACTAAGTCGTGGCCACACATTATTTTTATTTATACAGGATGTCAGCGGGGCTCCGTATAAAACACTTTTTATGTGTTATATCAAACGAGCATCACCGCGTATGCATGGGTATCTCGAGGTATCAGTGTGATATGCCTTATGGCCTACAGCCTTTATATTAAAATAGAATGGACACAGTTTTAAACACAAAACCACAGTAAAATGAAATCAGCACACCATCCTCTGTCTGAAAACATGGAGTCACTGCACATGGAGGAGTCTCTCATACTGTAAGTGTGACATGCTGTGTGCCCTGTTGTAGTCAAATAAATGATATCAAAGTCTCGGGCTCATTAAAAGCAGGTGAGAGAGAGACTTTTTTTTTGCACATTGCTGATGCATCAGCATTAAACTCTGATTACCCTACTGGATGCATTTCATAGACCAACCAATATTCCTGAAAAACAGGATAATAAAACTGTTGTGTAAATGTAACTATGCAGAATGACATCCTTTTTCATTGCGTTTTGTGACTTTGTTGATTTATTAATTCATTGTTAAATATTTCTATGGAGACTTTCATAAAACTAATAATCTCTTCTTCGGTTGCTGCAAACGCATATAGACCACAGCAGCTGCCACTTGAGCACACTTGTGATAAAGTCCATGTTGGAAAGACACGTCTATTATTTTTCCATATAAACCAAAATAATGGACCATTCTTGTATATTAGCAAGAATTTGAAATGCTAATATGAGTTTAATGAGTCTAGGATTTTTATTTTGTTATTATTAATATGGCTGCAATTAGTGACTGCATCAAGCACATGTGCAGTGACACTTGTTTGGTAGAAAACACCATGTTTTCAGACAGAGGAGGGTCTGCTGAATTCATTTCACTATGGGTTTGTGTTGACTCAGTGTCCTGTGTAGGCAGTTAAAACTGCTTCCATCCTTTATTAATATTAAATGCAACAGACTATAAGATGTGATATAAAACAGCGTTTCAGAACATTTTAAAAAGTAAAATATTACTATGCATCTTTGCTAATATTAACGAAGAGGCATTAGGCGCTTCCCAGTGAGCAAAATTTGTTTGGCCCACTTGTGGGCCATATCCTTGGTTTGTTCTGGCCCAGTATACAGCTAGGTCCTCGGCCCAAATCTGGCCCATGCACTGTAAAGTGTACAGAACTAAAGGAAATGGCCCAAATCTGGCCCCAGTCTGGCCCAACCACACTGTTGGTCCACAACATTCACGCTAGAATTGTCCCACAAATGTAGACACGCGGCAAAACGGTATGAAGCTGTCCAGCATCTGGCCCTATTCTGGCCCACATGCCTAACATCTACCTGGTAGTGAATCAACACTCACACAGGAAAAACAGAATTGGGCCAAAACTGTCTGCTATCTGGGATGAGTCTTTTATTTTGAAAAACACACTGAGCTCGCCAGTGTTGTTGTCTTCACGCAGCTGGTGTTGGTTTCTGATCAGTACTGGAGTGACTGCGCGCTGAATCTGATGCAGCACAGCTTTTAGATGATCCTCTGGAATCCGACCACAGCAGCACAGTGAGAGTTTAAATCAGCCTTTAGTCAGCTGTGTTACGTAGAGCTGTGATTCACGGCCTGCCTGTTTAGATAAACACTGCTAAGCTAGTTAGCTCATCTTGAGGTGCCCCGTCTGTGTCTATATAAGCTCAGACAGGCTAAAATAACAAAGGAGGTTAACGGTACTGAAAGAGGGAGTGAAGTGAATAAGGAGAAGAGCCGCACTGCACAACAGAACAGCTGCAGCTCTGATAACTTGTGTCAGCTCGGTAACGCTAAAGTTAGGCTGATATTGGAGATTCAGCAGAGATTCGCCTCCTGCTGCTCACAAACAACCTCCTAAAACCTCTGAAGTTACGTCTAAGTCGTGGTGAAACGGAGAACAAAGCACGCTCACTATTTTGTCAGAGTTCCTGAACTTTAGCATTTCTCCGAGTACTTTTGATCAAAGCAGGCGGAATCGCTGCGGTAGCGCCGAAGAGAGTAAGGAACCGTCTGTAAATTGCAGCTACTGTTTAAAAACGGAAGACATTCACTGAGATGAGGGGCTTGTTGGAGTTAGCTCTAAAAACTTGAAAACCGCTGACATACACAGATGATGTGAAAATCCTCAATTTAACAGAACATATTTTTAGCAGATTTAGCATACATTAGTGGACATTTACATTTACAGCATTTAGCAGACGCTCTTATTCAGAGCGACCTACAAAAAGTGCTTTGTCTATCTAGAGAAAGTATCTTTGCTAGTTACTAATAGGTTAGAGAGAAAGCCAGTCCTGAGCTCAGATACTGCTAGAAACAAAAATCGATGTTGATACATAGAGAAAAAGGAACAGAGTTAAACACAGAGCAGTGCAATACATTTCAATAAGTACAGTACAACACATTACAATTAGTTACCTAACTCAGTGCTCATTTAAGTGCTGTATAAAGAGGTAAGTCTTAAGTCTGCGTTTAAAGACCGCGAGAGACTCTGCTGTTCGGACATCCAGTGGTAGTTTGTTCCACCACCTGGGTGCCAGTACAGAGAAAAGTCTTGATGCTTGTCTTCCACGCGTCTTGAAGGATGGCGGGTCAAGCCGAGCTGTACTCGAAGCTTGAAGGGCTCGTGGACCTGCAGATTGTCTTGTCATAGCCCTGCAGCACATTCTAGTTTTAAACCAACATAACTAGGCGGAATTGTATCATGCTTTATTGAACTATTATTTAAAAATTGCTGCTACTTTTACTAAGTTATGTGATACACTGTATAGTGTATGATTTAACCCAAACCTGCTCCAACTTTACTAAGACAAGCCACAACTGTGTCAATGCAACCTGCCTTTTAATTGAATTAACTAAATCATAGAGCTTAGTCTCCTTGTAGTGATGGTACATTATTATTCCTGCAGCATAGCTTTTTAAAACTCTTAAAAACAAAATCCACCTACAGCCGAATGGCTGGTACAGTACAAACATTTTCTCTGATTTAAAAAAAAAAAAAATTACGATGCCCAACTCGGATCTATCTTGGATTGACAACCTAATAACCCATCAACTATCAGCTTTAGTGATTGCGCTGGAGTTCATTTTTTCTATTGTCGTCTGTGTTGCTGTTGTTCTTGCTGCTTTCAGTTCGACCTGCAACACTTTAAGTGACTACTGGCTTCTCTGTTAACTTTCTCAGCGTCAGTCTGAGGAAGATCTTGCGTTGTGCACCATTAATTGTGATTGCATGAATATCCCAGTTGGACATTTTGAAATAAATTGTACTGGCAGGAATGTTCAAGGTCTTTTTAAGGCTCTTTAGCATATGTATGTATATTTTAAAATAATGTCCGTATAATTTTCCTTACCTCTTTGGTTTGTTTTTAAAAATATCTTTGTTTACCCTTATGAATATGTCCTTTCTGCGTATTTAAAAGACCAAAATCAGATGACATTACCATTACTTTTGTAAATTGTAAGTGGATATATGCACTGGAAATAATGTAAGGTATGTAACAAAAACAAAATTGTCTGAATACTAGTTTTCATTTATTGTATTTACTGCCATGCATCAACATTAGAAATATTCTCTTTCTGCACTCACTGTTGCTTTCTCACTGCAGTAACCATCACTGTTTCTGAAATTAATGTTTAAAATGTCCTTTCATTACATTATTTTAGAAAGCTAGATAGTAAACAGTAAAAAAAGTCAGTTACTAGTACTACATTGTTCAAAAGCTTTGAATGCTCATTTAAACAGTCTTCTTAGCCAAGCTACTAAGACTTCTATACAGCTTATTGCTGAGCTTGTGGACTTGGGTAAAAAATGAATTTTGACCGGCTATCCCACAACCCCAATTTATTATAGGATAATCATGAAATAACTTTAATAAGATAGAGTCTACAGTTAAAAATATCACATGAACACCTCACTAAACTGCTAAAAGGACATGAGTCAATTTCATTGAAAATGTCAGAGAGAACCTTGTAATTCTAAGGCAAAGATTTATTATGGAAGGTGCCCCAGTGCAGACAGTGACAGACTTTCAAGTACTGCAGCCTAAATACCCACAATGGGAGAAAAGCTTTTGGGTCTTAATCAATAGCGAAATCCTTCTGTTGCTTTCTAAGAGTCAGTTATATTTATTTTCAGATAATTAGTCATCTGTTTAGATGAGCCCATGGCTGTGAAATGTAACCACTCAAAGAGGTTTCAAGGATCGCATAATTTATTATGCTCTGAAAATGTCTGTTCCTGACTTGGATTAAAGCCTAATAAGTCAAAGAAGCTCTAAGATCTTCCCAAAAAAAAAAACCCATGTAGCACAATTAATATTACAGCTCTTTACAGACCTCGTAAAGCGGAGGATCCAGTAAGATTTGGTGAAAAAATTTACATTTATAGGATCAAACGTATCAAGTTTGAAATAATTTTTCTAACCATAGGGCATGAGGGTGGCGGTTTGTGAAAAATCCTGGTAATTAAAACCTGGTAAAAAAAAATCCAGCTCTGGAGTTTCCAATATCAGCATGAGGACACAATTTCAGTGGTCTGTATGTCTGTTTGAAGAGTTTACATGATTGACTTCTCCAGATCAGATTGAATTTTATTTCTGATCTGGAAAAGTCAATCATTACACTTTCTGCCAGTTGTTGTAAGTGGCATGTTCATGATTTGGATGAGACTACATTTGTTGCACTGCATATTGAGTTTGTCTTCCAGAAATGAATGATGTTCTATTTCAAGTGTACTTCTGCCTTTTTAAGCTCTTAAATGGGCTTCCCCTTAGGACATTCCACCAAGAGGAAGATTAAGCTTCTGAAACAAGTGATATATAAAACTATGGCATCTAAAAGATGTTCTGGTACTCAGCAAAGGTCATCTGGTACCCTCCACATGAGCACATCTCACAGAAAAACGCAGAAATGCAGCAAGAACAAAACTTGTCACTGCTTGAAGTGTGGAAAGCATTTTAATAAACAATTATATCTCAAAAGACACCAGTGCATTCACACAGGAGAGAGGCCGTATCACTGCTCAGAGTGTGGAAAGAGTTTTAATTGCCAGAGTTCTCTCCAACGACACCAGGTCATTCACATAGAAGAGAAGCCGTATCACTGCTTGGAGTGTGGGAAGAGTTTTACTGAACAGAATTATCTCCGAGAACACCTGCACATTCACACAGGACAGAAGCCGTATCAATGCTCTGAGTGTGGGAAGAGTTTTAATCGACGGAGTAATCTCCAAATGCACAAGCGCATTCACACAGGAGAGAAACCGTATTACTGCTCTGAGTGTGGGAAATGTTTTAGTTACCTGAGTCATCTCCAACGACACCAGCGCATTCACACAGGTCAGAGGCCGTATCTCTGCTCAGTGTGTGGGAGGAGTTTTACTGTACAGAATCATCTCCGAGATCACCAGCGCATTCACACAGGAGAGAAACCGTATCACTGCTCAGAGTGCGGGAAGAATTTTACTCGACAGAGACACCTCCAAACACACCAGCGTATTCACACAGGAGAGAAGCCGTATCACTGCTCAGAGTGTGGGAAGAGTTTTAATCAACTGGCTTATCTCCGACGACACCAGCGCATTCACACAGGAGAGAAGCCGTATCACTGCTCGGAGTGTGGGAAGAGTTTTGCTGATCTGCGTAATCTCAGAGCACACCTACTCATTCACACAGGAGAGAAACCGTATCACTGCTCACAGTGCGGGAAGAATTTTAATCGACAGACTACTCTCCAAAATCACCAGCGCATTCACACAGGCGAGAAGCCTTACCACTGCTCAGAGTGTGGGAAGCATTTTACTCTAAGGAGTACTCTCCAAAGACACCAGCGCATTCACGCGGAAAAGAAGCTGTAACGTTGTTCAGAGTGTAGGAAGTGTTTCAGGAGTTCAGAGACTGAAGACTTACAAATGCACTAAGAGCAGTGGTGGAAATGGGCAGTAATGAGTGTAACCATAACACATTCTGGTAATAAAAGTCTGCAGGGAATGGTTCTTCCAGCCCAGATTTCAAACTGTTTTCAGGGGAAAACCACCTCTTGTTGTTTTATGCTGATTCTAAAACATGAGCCTAAAATGAAACGTAATTTGCTGTGCTGAACACAGTCAAGGCTACAGCTCATACACCCAATGAAAAGGTGTGGTACTTCAGATTCCTCCCAAAATTAGTTTCATTTGTAATATTTGTTGAAAACTCCAAATTGAGCTCCAAATTCAGCAATAATGTCTTGTTTACTTTCTAATTTGGTATATCTAAGCTAGTGTTTCTTATTCAATGATAAAAGATTTGACAGTGTGCTTGGCACGTCAAGTACTGCTTTTGCTCCTTTGATTGCTACATTAACACATTAAGCTAGTGCTTGTTAGAATGAAAGTGCTACTTTGTGTTCCCTTTTAACCTTTGAAATTGTTATGATGTATGTTTGGAATGTTCTTACTGAAGACTTTAACAAAGGAGATGTGACCCTGAAGGCTGCAACAGTGAAGTTTTTGCTGTGGTGGGCAGAACTCTACAGATTTGTAAAGGAGACAGAGAAGTATGAAGAATTGCAAGACATCAAGCTCTGTGAGTGACATTCTGGTGACCTCTCCTCAGTATGGCCTACACATGCCTGTTCTACATGGCATACAGTCGCATACAGGCCTGCTATGTGCTTAATTTTATCCACCTGTTTGCAATGGGTGTGGCTGAAACACTTGAAGTCAATAATTAGGAGGTTTGTCCCAATACTTTGGTCTATATAGTGTGTATATAGAAATACGATAGACAAAATGTTTGACTTTCAGTAATGAAACCATGCTCAGTTTTGTTCCTGAACCAATCCATTGCAGTCTGCATTGCAATAGTGTTGATTTGTAGTGATGATTCAATATGTGTATATAATTGTGGATGTAACTTGTCTAATTTACATAAAATTTGAATAAAATTCCTCCCACCGTATTCCGTCTCTCTGTTTTAAGGCACACTTTACATGTGGAAATGATTGTTTGTTTCAAACAATGTAACAGTCACTGCCCACATACTTCACTGCTTTCTTTACGTTGTCATGGATGTTAAGCAAAACATCTGCTAAAGAGCAGTTCAGAGTCTGGATTTAAACTGTGCTGCCCCACATTCATGTTTATCGCTGTTTAAAACATAAATAAATGTCACATAGATCATGTCAGCTCTGGCAGTCTTTGCCAGAAGTGGTCAAGATCTGTTTTGAGTTGTGGGCCATACACACATTTTTAATATGTGGGCCACTTTTGGCTCACATACAGTTTGTCAGTGCTGACCATAGGCCAGAGGTACCATATCTATGCCAGAAGTGGCCCACATCTGCATGCTAGCTGGGTTATGTCTTTAATCTGTTTTGAACAGATTTCTACATGCTAGAAACCGACTTTTAATGCAAAGTGTTTGGTGTGCAGTGGCCTACAGCACAAGAGATTATGTTGACAGAACATATCAGACTGTGACTAACATTAGTTAACGTTACATTATTGTTATCTGTGGTTGTAGTAGCTGGTGCTAATAACTTAAATGAAAGTAGCTTTAAATCCAGCCGAACATCTGTAATATATTTTTCCACAGGTATCCTGTTTATAGAGCAATCAGAAGAGGTGCAAATGGCCAGATATGAGGTTTATTTTGACGACACAGGAAGTATTTTCCTGAGGGCAAAATGTCTACATTACTGAAGTTCGAAGAAGTAAAACATCTAAAAGTGCATTTTCAGGTTGAAATTCTTGAGGTGAGATTTGGTATGTTTGGTATATTTTTCGTTATATTTTCTCCAACAAGTTGTTTAATATCTACTATCAGGTCCTGTTCAATCCCGCCACTTTTCAGCCCAAAGTTGAGCCCGTGCTGTTACCCAATCAGAGCGCTGGAGGCGGGGCTTGACTGAATACGGGTGGCTTTTAAAATAATGACCGTTCCACCCATTTCAGTGACCGCGTGGTTCCAGTGTAAAGCCGATTCAGGCCAGGTGGTGGCGCTAATTCTGTAACTCTTACTTTTTCCAACTGCGCTAAAGTGGAGAAGCAGAAGATTGCGTTGTGGTCAGCAGTCCACGCGCTCAGACAGTGTTGTTGGAGGAACACAAACCAGAGCTGAACTATTGAAGGTAGGAATCTGTCCGACACTTTAACACTCATTGTTCTTCATTCACTCTGAGACAAACAGCTGGAGACACATCTGATTTCTGGAAATAAGATCTGATGGCTTTAAAATAGATCAGACACACAGAAGCAGCTTCATTTAGACAGAGCTGAGTAATGTGAGCTGCTGGGCCAGAAGATTTGGTTGATAATGTTTTCCTAGGTGGGTTTGGGAAAACATAGAGCAGTTTGTTTCAGATGTATTCATGATTTATACTGTATCAGCTATATGGAAATCTAGTCAGTTAATTTATGTTAATGTACTTATCTAGTAGGTTAAAAAGCTGTTTTTTTTGTTTTCCCTCCAAGAAGCTTTGTGGTTGTGGGTTTATCTCATAAGCTTCTGTTCTTTTATGTTCCAATGTTATCAAGTCAACTCCTTCATTTTTAAACAAACTTTAAAGACAAGTCCTTTATGTGCATGACTATCTGCTCCACTCTCAGTTTGAACGCATAAAGCAGATCTTATCAACCTTTAACTTATAAAACAATGTGTAAAAACAGGTCATGCCATATTAAACGTGTAGCTGTAATTAATGGGATGGGGGGGGGGTTAATGATTGGTAGATTAGGAGCTGGTAGGAGTGTCTTTGATGGGTGTTTGAGGTCTGTTTATCCCAGACCACAAGCTTTGCATATTTTGTGCTTTCCCTCCTTTAACACTCACAGTCCAGTCTTTAATCAGTTAAATTAGGAGTGCTAGATAAGAGATGGTATACAAATGTGGATAGTGTAGAATTGACAAAAACCCATCAACTACCAGCTTTAGTGATGGTGCTTCAGTTCATTGCTTAGTGTTCTCAGCTTTAGAAATATTCTCTCTCTGCAGCAGCTGTCTTTGTTGTTGTTGTTGTTTTTCTGTCTTCGTCATGTTTGTGCCTCTGTCTCACTGTCACTTTCTAACTACAGTAACAGCATTTCTGAAATTAAATGTTTAAAATGTACTTTCATTACGTTGTTTAATAAACTAGATAGGTGATCTTACTACTCTGCTTAGCTAATTAAACTGAATATTAGTTAATCTAATCAGCATCTGTAGCAAGGTGTCTGGCTACTCTGTCAACTGGTCAATATCCAAGTTTCTGCCCCTAAACAAATTTAAGTGGGGTGCTGAGGTCTGGGACATGCAGCTCAGTTTATTAAGTATCTTGGTATTCACATCTCCCCAAACCAAACTGTGCCCCTCTACTGCAAGAGAAGGAAGTCAATCTAGAAAGATGGAACAAACTGTCCCTATCTTTAACTGGCCAAAAACCCCAAATTAAAATGAATATACTCTCTAGCTACTTTCATCGTTGGACAACTAATAACCCATTAGACAATCCCATAACATTCTTGGAATTATTAATTTACACTTATATGTGAAAGCCACCCCTGGTCAAATGACATGGTTTGTCGATTTTCTTAATTAAAATTAATACATCTGCATGAATTAGACATAAGTATTATATATTGCTGAAAATTTGAATGCAAAATAACCATTTATAAATACCTCTGGTTTATCTATGAATTGTTTGCAAACTTCAGATGTTGATATTTGTGATTAGATCACCGTTCAGGTTACCTTCTGATGATTTTCCATGGAGATGATTTTTGTGCAACAAAACTGCATCACTTTCCTTTGCCAGCCAAATCTTCCTGCAGCTTTTTGGCAGTGAGGTGGGGGTTTTGCTTTGCATAACTGGGCAGTGCACAAGCAGTTTTTTCAGAGATAATTCTTGGTTTTCCAAATCTTGCCCTGACTTTGCTGTTTTTAACTTTCATTTGTTAATGTAATTTCTGACAGTGAAGGTTTATTAGCAGGAAGTATTCAGATATGTTATGTTCTTTTCTTTTATGAGAGTCAGTTGTCTTCAGTTTCAGATCCTCAGCCATTTGTTTAGATGAGCCGATGGCTGTGAACTGTAAGCACCCTAAGAGGATTGAGGGTCACATAATTTTTATGCTCTGGAATTGTCTATACATGGGCCTAATAAGTCAAATTAGCTCTGAGACCTTATGCAACAAAATCTAAAATATGCATGTAGCAAAATAACAACCTTGTAAAGCGGAGGGTCCAGTAACATTCACTGGAAAAATGTATATAGGATTAAACATATTGAGTTTGGAATCATTTCGTTTACCACAGGAAATGATGGTGGCGGTTTTTGTATACTGCCAGGATTTTTTGCCATTGAGGAATTCAGCTTGGCCCAAGAGTTTCCAGTATTGGCATGATGATATAACTAAGAAAGGCTTATATTTCTATTTTAAGAGTTTGGGTGATTAGGTGGTTTTTCCACATCAGTTGGAATTTTATACTTTCTTCACACTTTCTGCCAGTTGATGTAAGGGCAGCATGATTTGCATCATACCATATTTGTTGCATTGCACATTGAGTTTATATTTTGTTCTTCCAGAAACTAATGATGTCCTGTTTCAAGTATTCTCCTGCGCTTTCCTAAGCATATTCAGCTTAAATATGCTTCCGTATAAACATCAGGGCATTACACCAAGAGGAGTGTTAAGCTGCTGAAACAAGTGATACATAAAAATATGGCATCCAGAAGACATTCAAGTGCTCAGCCAACATCACGTAGCACCCTCCACATGAACCTGTTTCACAGACAAACACAGAAATGCATCAAGGAAAAACTTCACTACTGCTTGGAGTGTGGAAAGAGTTTTACTCGACAGAGTACTCTTAAAACACACCAGCGCATTCACACAGGAGAGAAGCCGTATCACTGCTCAGAGTGTGGGAAGAGTTTTAATCGTCGGAGTACTCTCAAAACACATCAGCGCATTCACACAGGAGAGAAGCCGTATCACTGCTCAGAGTGTGGGAAGAGTTTTACTCATCGGGGTTGTTTCAAAGCACACCAGCGCATTCACACAGGAGAGAAGCCGTATCACTGCTCAGAGTGTGGGAAGAGTTTTAGTGTACAGAGTCATTTCCAAATACACCAGCGCATTCACACAGGAGAGAAAGCGTATCACTGCTCAGAGTGTGGGAAGAGTTTTATTCGACAGACCACTCTCAAAGTACACCAGCGCATTCACACAGGAGTTAAACCATATTCCTGCTCAGAGTGTGAGATGAGTTTTACTCAGCACAGTCATCTCCGGCAACACCAGCGCATTCACACAGGAGAGAAGCCATATTTCTGCTCAGAGTGTGGGAAGAATTTCAGGCATTCCAGGACTTGGATGACACACAAGTGCATTAAGAGCAGTGGTGAAAATGGGTGTTAATGAGTGCAACCACAAACATGCCAGTAAAAGTCTGCAGGGAATGGTGTTTCCAACTCAGATTTAAAAAATCTGGATAACTGTATCTAGAGAGAAAATCCACCTTTTTTTTTGTTTTATACTGTTTCTAATACATGGGTATGAACTGATCCTGATCCATGAACTGTATGCTGTGTGTTCAGAGTGTTTTTGTTGGGGACTGTAATAAAAGAGAGATGACCCTGAAGACTACAAGTTTTAATGAAGTTTTGCCGTGCAGGGCACAACTGAACAATCTTGTAAAGGAAACGCAGGAGTACGAAGAACTGCAATATATTAAGATATCTCTACCTCTTCTCATCGTGGCCTACACATGCCTGTTCTACACGGCATAAATTGCATACAGGTCAGACTACAAACCATGAACTTTCCATTCTGCTCTTCAAAACCTTTAAGGACTAATGTTGGTGTTGTTTGTGCCGTTTGACATATCTCCAATCTGTTGTACCAGACGTGGTGGTGACCAATGCTGCAGTAGTTTGAAATAGGATATATTTATCATTGTAGAACTGGGTGAAAGGTGACTATTTGGGGATGTTCAAGACCTTGGGTGTGACCTGAGAGTCACTCTTGCTGATGTCATTGGGATGTGCACGAGAGACCCTGGCTTTGTTGTCTGAGTCAGTCATTGGCTATATGTTTTGTTTCTGAACCAATCTATCTCTGCATTTTATTGTAAAGATGAATCAATATATGTATCCAGTTCTGAATATAGATTGTCTGCTTTACATATAAATTGCATAAAGGTATAAACACTTTGACCAAGTCTGTGTTAGGTGGGAAGACCCCCCCCCACTTTTCTGTCTCTCTTTCTTTTTCTCTTTTGCTTTCTCTATACTTTTTAGACTGCAGATTTTTTCCCTAAACTTTTGTTTAGTTAAAATTCACGTGAGCTTATGCGTGTTTGTGCAAACATGCTAATTTTATTCTTTTAAGAATGTCCCTGTAATCCTGAAAAACATATTATTTTCTTATTAAATTGTATAACCTTTTTGTCATTTGAAATTCACTCTGTGGTCTTCTCTTTAGGTTTTGGGATATAACGCATCGTATAAATTATATCTGGGCACATTCCTTTATATTATCCACATATGTCTCTAAGTATGTTACATATACACGGATTATGTCATAGTGAGTAACATTTAACAGACTAGACACAGACTATAAGGATTGTTTAAAAAAAAATACAGTACGTAGAATAAATAGTAAGATATTTGATATAAAAGAGCTAATGTAAAAGCAGCTAAAGAGTTGAGAGTATATAAATTGAAAATGTATATGGGTGTGCAGAGTCTAAGGTAGAAAACTACATAACTTATAACTTACAGTATGTTACACAATGATAAGAACATTTGTAAAGGTGTATGAATAAGCAATGTGGTTCAGAGGAGCTATACAGAAAGGGAGGTTTGTTGGTTGTACATAGTGAGCATGTGCTTTAGCATTTCAGCATATTATGTTTGTTATTTTTAAAGAAAATTTCCTGTTTGTATTTGTTTTGTATGAAGGTAATTAGTGCTACTTCATATTTGTGTCAGAGAAAAGAGACTGAAGCTGTAGTTGGCGTGTTTGTGTTTGTCTCTGTCAGTATTTCAGCACCCAAAAAGAAGAAACACTGCAGTGAGTGATGAACTGCATTTGCAGTACGAGTTTATCATTTTCTTCCAGAATGATTGAGTTGTGGATGTAAGTCACTCATGAAAAGCTGCAGTGGTGAATGTTGTGATCTAGTGCTCTCTCTCTCTTGTACAGTGTGCAGATGCAGCTCTGCAGGATCTTTCACTACAAAAGCAGCATTACTGTCAGTTAAAGACTTTTATTAAAATAAGTTTGATGATACAAAGAACTACCAGGGGTGTCCAGTCTTATCCACAACGGGCCCGTGTGGCTGCAGGTTTTCATTCCAACGAAGCAGGAGATCACCTGATGACTAGTGGCCTGTCAAACTAATGACATATGTATCTTACATATCTTAATACTACAATACTTCCTCCTGTGCTTTTGTGTACTAATATATTCACTCACTTTAAATTCTGATATTATTTCTCTATTTCTGCCTAATCTATTTAATGGAAAGCTTTTAGGATTTATTCTAGGATTCTGGCGCTGCTCTCAGCTCACTGGAGTAACTGTTTATTTCAGTTTAGACGCTCCAGCCTCCTAAAGCCTGTTGTTTTCTCAGGGAGGTGGAGAGCTGTAGAAGAAGCAGTTCAAATGCAAAACGCTGAAGCAAAGCAATCTTATGTTTACTATAAGTGTGTTCAATAATATAAATGCAATTTAGCTGCAGATACATCTACAAAATGATTTTAGTAGCACACAACTTTATACATTTGGAATCATTTGAAGAAATGTTAACGTGTCCACGCTGACAGATGATTGTAAAATGAGTGAGAAAGCTGTAGAGCACCAAAAGCAATGTTTTAATCAATTACGAATTCATTCCATTTGCAAAGTGGTGATCAAATCTGAATCAAATCCTGATACAGATACTGAACTCTGACCAGGTATTACTATAAATAGATAATCAAACAATTATTCATTTAATAACTTCTGGTTTATGATTCAGATTTTAAAAGGGACAATTAAAACTATGGAAAGGGAAAAGAGAGAATGAGGTTAAAAAGAAAAACTGTGTCAAAGGATACATGTCTGTTTCTCCATGGTGCTGCTCCAGATGTTTCTGGATCCTCTCTCGGAATCATTCTCCTCATAGAAATGAAGCTTCCCTCAAACGACAAACTTAAATAAAATCACAAACAGGTTGTGGAAGTAATGTGATATACACTGTATGGACAAAAGTATTGGGACACCTACCCATTACACCCACAGGAGCTTTTATGGATCCCATTCTAAATCTATAAGTATTAATATGGAGTTGGTTTGCAGCTCTAACAGCTTCCACTCTTCTGGGAAGCTTTCGACAAGATGGTGGAGAGTCTGTGGGAATTTTTGCCCATTTATCCAGAAGAGTATTTGTGAGGTCAGACACTGATGTTGGACGAGAGGTTCTGGCTCACAGTCTCCGTTCTAGTTCATCCCAAAGGTGTTTGATGGGGTTGAGGTCAGGGCTCTGTGAGGGCCAGTCAAGTTCTTCCACACCGACTTTATGGAGCTGCTTTGTGCGCTGGGGCTCAGTCATGCTGGAACAGAAAAGGCCCTAGTACTTTGACAAAAACTATTTTTTTAATTAATAAACAAACGATCATCTATCAGTTTTCTATCAAACAAGTGTCACTGCACATGTGGGAGTCTAGTACTGTGGGCGTGACAGAACTTATAGCCTGTTGTAATTATATTAATAAAGAATAGACAGTTTTAACTACCCCCTGAATAGTGCATTGTGTCAACTCAAACCCACAGTGAAATGAAATCAGCAGACCCTCTCCTGTCAAAACATGGCCTGTTTTCTTCCTTCACTTTTGTAAAGGATTGCTTAGATTATGACTGACTAATCTAAACAATACACTGAATTAAAATCATCAGGTTTTCTTTCTTTCATCACTTTATTTGGGTTTTTTAACTACTATTTGTTTCTTCATTGCAGTTTTATTTGTGGTTGTGTTGGTTGTGTGTATTTGGTTGTGTGTGTGTTCACTAAATGTAACTGCTGAGGCCTTTTTTACTTTTTTGAACTGGAGCCCATAAAGTCCCAGTAATGCCCCTGGAATCATCATCTTAAACCTCTTAATCCAACTAGGGTCATGGTAGCAGTTGGAAGACCAGAGAACTCCAGTTGACCCTGTCCCCCGCAACTTCCTCCAGCTCATTCTGGGAACCCTGAGCCAGAGATATAATCCCTCCAGCCCACCCTGGGAGGGATTATATGTGGGTGTGTGTGTAGGGAGAGAGAGAGATTTAGCCTTATTCACTGATATTCATGATGTGTTCCTAAACAACTTTAGAACTGTTCAAATGTTTGTGCTCAAATGTGTGTAGATTTTATTTCTTACCCAATATCAAATCCCAAATAAGAAAACACCGTGTTCAGTTTTGTAAAAACTGCGAAATGGGTTTTAAAGAGAAATTTCTTTAAGAAGAAGAATGGTTGGTGAATGAGGCCCTTTGTCCAAGGCATGCCACGTTCATACCTTGAGATACTCATATATATGCAGTGATGCTTGTTTATATAAAACATAAAAAGTACATAAGTGTATTAGAACATTTCAGAATTTAAAATATTGATGGGCGTTTTGCTACAGTTAACTAAGAGGCATCACGCGCTTGAGTCTTTTATTTTGAAAAGCACACTTTCGGTTACCGTCAGTCTGAGCTCGCTAGTGTTGTTGTCTTCACGCAGGTGGTGTTGGCTTCTGATCCATACTGGAGTGACTGCGCGCTCAATCTGATGCAGCACAGCTTTCAGATGATCCTCTCCTGCTGGAATCCGACCACAGCAGCACAGTGAGTGTTTAAATCAGCGCATTTAGTCAGCTGTGTTATGTAGAGCTGTGATTCACGGCCTGCCTGTTTAGATAAACACTGCTAAGCTAGTTAGCTCATCTTGATGAGTCCCATCTGTGTCTCTATAAACACACACAGGCCAAAATAACAAAGGAGGTTAACGGTACTGAAAGAGGGAGTGAAGTGAGTAAGGAGAAGAGCCGCACTGCACAACAGAACAGCTGCAGCTCTGATAACTTGTGTCAAGTGTAACGTTAAGGGACCGTCTGCAAAAAGTGCGGGTACTTTCTAAAAACGGAAAACATTCACAGAGATGAGGAACCATTTTAGTTTATGAAGACTTGAAATCTGCTGACATTAACTTGCATGCACATTGTCTCAGTAAAGTTAGAGTCTTTCTTTTTGTGTCACACAACTTTGTGAAAGTAGCTTCTGTTTTCTAAACAAAGCAGGATACAGTTCCACTAAATTGTGCTGGTCAAATTTCTCGAAACTGGAATGTGTTGCAGGGTTGTACCAAGGCAATCTGCAAGTCCACTATATGCATGTTTAGACTGCCAAAAATAACCATTTGTTAAAACTGAGGAAGTTCTTGGATGTTAGTTATTGATTTTTATGTCTGTGTATCCACTGTTATCCACAGTTAGGGGATTTAAGGATTGGAGGTGTATGGAAATGGAGTGTTTTAAAAACAAAAATAGCCAAAACACAACATATAGTAATATAGTAACTATAAACAGTTATCCAGCTCTGAACATGGTTCAGTCACCAAGCAGCTCATTAACACTGAAAGCGTAAATCCCAGAAATCAGCAGATAATATTGGTCGTTTTGGTCATTATTGCTCCCATGTGCAAAGCAAGATAATATTTTAGATTCTTTTAATTATAGCATTAAGTATTTTGTTTACTGTCTCGTCTTGCAGTCAAATCACTACAGGACAAACGTTTTCTGATCTGATATCCAAAAAACATGATGCCCAACTCATGTAGGATGCATGTAGGATTGATAACCTAATAACTCATGTGCTACCAGCTTCAGTGATTGTGCTGCAGTTCACTGCTTATTATTTTCTGTGTAGCTGTTGACGTGCAAGTCTTTTGACGTGCAAATCTTTAATTCACTGCTGGCTACTCTGTTACTTTTCTTATCATCAGTCTGCGGAAAATCTTGCACTGGTTGTGGTTCTGTGAATATTACAATTGCATGTTATCAAAGCATTTTGACAAGCATGTTTAAGGTCTAGTGCACTGTATTTCACACAAGTGTTGCTTAATAATGATGTCCCTGAGAAGTTCAGGAAGCTCCTTCTCCTTCACCATGATTGCTACTCGTTGTTGCAATTTCTTGGAAAAAATTCACACATCTTTATATTGATACTAGGTGAAATTTGCACAAGAATGTTATGATTTTGCAATATCTATTTTAATTTTATCCAAGACTTATATGTATGTTTTACTGTAGTGTTTAAATATATTTTCCCCTATTGTTTTTTTTCAAATATATCTTTTTTCATGCTTATAAATACATTTTTTTGCATGCTTATAATATCAAAGCTAAAAGATATTACCATTACATGTGTAAATTTTAAGTGACTGTATGCACTGAATGTGTATTAGACATTCAAATTCTTTGAATACTTATTTTTATTTATTGTAAAAATACTTATTGAATACTTATTTTTACTTATTGTATTTACATATGAGCTAATAGTTAAGATGGATATTACAGCTGAAAATCTCAGATTGCTTTCTCTCATTCTCAGTCACTGACCTACTAAGCTCACAGGACAAAAATTAGTCATCTTTGACTGAAACATACTTAATATTGTGTATTATCTCTACTGGCTGCAATTCAATTTAGCATGGACTGGACAAGTTTCTGGATGTAGACGACATCAATGTTCAGCCACTCTTGCATCAAAAAAAATTCGCAGTTTGGCCAGATTTCATGGGTGCCTTCCCTGGCGTCTTATTCGTTGTTCCAGGTAGTCCCACAGGTTTTCAAGAGGATTCAAATCGTGGGATTTTGCGGGCTGGACCAGATGTGTGAATGATCCTTAATGTTCATCATGCCAATCACTCACATTTGCAGGTGATAGGAATGTTATGTTCTTCGGTAAGATGATGAGCAAAAGGCACAACCTGGTTGTCCAGCAGCTCCATGTCAGCACTGTTGTTAAAATTTAATGTCACCTCAACCAAAGAACCTATTTCCTTGTAATTAAAACACCCCTAGAAGCATCACAGAGCCTCCAGTTTGAACCACACCTTGCATGCAGTCCTCACTGAAGGCTTCTACAATGCACACAACACCGAGCATCATTCACATACAGGCACAAACCAGATTCATCTGACCAGATAACATATTTCCAGTCATGAACAGTCCACTGTTTGTGTCTCTTTGCCGACTGTAACCGGACAAATTTGTGAGCAGAAGTGAGCAAAAGCCTCTTGCGTGCCGCTCTGCTGCATATGTTCATGGTATGCAGTTCCCCTGCGAAGAGTTCTTTCAGAAAATGGTTGTGAAGAACTTGCGTTGACTTCTAGAAGCAAGTCTTGCCTGGAAGCGAAGCAACATTCACTGCACTGTACCACCTCTTCTCAATCTGTGAATCCCATCGCACATCCCGCAGGTATTTACAACCCGGTTATTCTCATGCAACGCCATCTGCAGGAGCCTTACTACTAGTTAGAAGTTACTACCACCTTAAACATGCAAGGTGACTAATTTTTGGTCCGGGGAGCTTATTTTGTGACAACATAAATGTAAATTCATTTTTACTCCACTCTATAATTTATTTCTGTGTGTTCATCATATCATTAGTGTTAATATTGTATTATCATTGTTATTGTTTTGTTATTGTTCTTTATCTGTACGGTGTCTTTCTCTGTCTTGAAAGGTTTCTATAAATGCAAGCTGTTTGCAAACTTTAGATGTTGACATTTGTGATGAGATCACAGTTCAGGTTACCTTCTGATAATCTTTCCATGTAGATAATGTTTGTGCAACAATGCACAATAGGCTGGTGCACCACTCTTCCAGTGCCAGCCAAATCTTCCTGCAGATCTTTGTCAGTGAGGTGGGGGTTTTGCTTTGCAGTCTAGAAGAAGTTTCTTCAGAGATATTTCTTGGTCCGCCAGATCTTGCCTTGACTTCAATAGTTCGCTCCTTCTATATCTTAATGCCATTTCAGACAGTGAAAGTTTATAAGCAGAAATTATTCAGATATATTTTATATTCTTCTCCTGCTTTGTAAGAGTCAATCATCTTTAGTTTCAGATACTCAATCAGCTGTTTAGATGAGCCCATCACTGTGAAGTGTAAGTAAAAAAAAAAAAAAAACTGAGTAACAACCTTGTAAAGTAGATGATTCAGTGTACATAGGATAAAACGTAAAGAGTTTGGAATCATTTGATCCCAGTCATGTTTGCCATTGAGAAATCCAGCATAGCCCCTGAGACCAACTTCAGTGGTCTGTATGTCTGCTTAAAGAGCTTGAGTAATTAGGTGGTTGTTTTTTCTATCCAATGGAATTTTATTCTTCCTTTACATTTTCTGTTAGTTGATGTAAGTGGAGCATTCATGATCAGACTACCTTCGTTGCACATTCAGTTTATATTTTCGTTTTTCTTCTTCCAGAAATGAATGATGTCCTGTTTCAAGTCTTCTCCTGCACATTCCTACTCAGCTTAAATATGCTTCCGTAAATACATCAGGATATTCCACCAAGAGGAATGTTAAGCTGCAGAAGCAGTTGATTATATAAGAATATGTCATCCAGAATCTGTACCGGCGCTCAGCAAACGTCATCTGGTACCCTCCACATGAACACATCTTGCAGACAAATACAGAAATGCAACAAGGAGAGAAATCACTACTGTTTGGAGTGTGGAAAGAGTTTTACTCGAAAGAGTACTCTCCAACGACACCAGCGCATTCACACAGGAGAGAAGCCGTATCACTGCTCAGAGTGTGGGAGGAGTTTTAATCATCAGAGTACTCTTCAAGAGCACAAGCGCATTCACACAGGAGAGAAGCCATATCACTGTTTAGAGTGTGGGAAGAGTTTCACTGTACACAGTACTCTAAAAAAACACAAGCGCATTCACACAGGAGAGAAGCCGTATCACTGCTCAGAGTGTGGGAAGAGTTTTAATCAACAGATTCATCTCCAACAACACCAGCTCATTCACAGAGGAGAGAAGCCGTATTACTGTTCAGAGTGTGGGAAGAGTTTCAGGCATGCGAATACTATGACGACACACAAGTGCATTAAGAACAGTGATGGAAATGGGCAGTAATGGGTGTAACCATAACATATTCCAGGAGCAAATGGAGAATAGTGTTTCCAGCACACATTTCAAAAATCTGGATATCTGTTTTCAGATAGAAATCCACCCTTTGTTGTTCTACGTTGTTTCTAATACATGAGCGCAAAATGAAATATAGTTTTATTAATAATTCTCACAATATGCAGAACAAAATTGAGAAGCTCCACATTCAGTAATAAAAAGAGGTTCAGTACTTAATAATTAAGTATATCTAAGCTAGTATAGTGTTTCTGTTGCAATGATGGAATTTTTTTTTGACAAACCTTTGACCGTGTGCTTGGCTCCTTGAGTCCCTCTATTGCTCAATTGATTCCTACACGGCAGCGGATGGTTCAGGAGTTTGAACTGGGCGTCTCCGGCATTGTGGAACTGGGTCAAAAGTTGACCTTTTGGGGACATTTAAGGTCTTGGGCCTCAGTGAGAGTGACTCTCGTCAGTAGGATGTGCATGAGGGACACTATCTTATGACTGAAACTCACCTATTTGCATTATATGTAAACTACTTTGGCAAAGTTTGTGATAGGTGGGGACGACACCTGCAGGTGCTCTCAACACTTTTCCTCCTATCTCTCTTTCTTTCTTTCTTCTGCTCTCTTTCTCTCAGTCTCTTCTCTCTCACACTGTTTTAGCCTGCTGCTTTTTTAGCTTTTCTTTAATGAGGCCTTTAGCCTATAAAGGGAAGGTGTTTTTGTGAACATGCTAACATGTTGAGTTTACTTTTCTCCATTTTCTTTATTTATTCTTTTAATTTTTTTTTTTCATCTGCCTGTAATCCTGAAAAACATTTTATTAAATTTTGTAATCTATTCTTTTAAAATTCACTGCGTGGTCTTCTCTTTAGTTTTTGGGGTTTATCACATCACAGAATTTGTGTTTTGTTACACTGCAGCTCTTATTGGCAAAAACTTGAAAGAGTACTAGCGAAAGGAAAGTATATCATGTGCATAGAGTGGACTTTCCAGAACTGGAACTGGGAACTTCTGGTCTAAATAAAACTGAAAACAGTGCTCCAGACAGCATGAGTGTGAATAGAGCGTGATGAGGCACGTGGTCATATTCATGATGAAGTAATTCTTTCTGCAGACCTTTGTGGTCTAAACAGTAAATTATTTCAGTCAGAAGGGCCATTGCCATTGCAGCAGCTTATGGCCAGGGGGTTTGTGTGGCAAACGTGCAAAATGAAATAATTCTTAAAATTAAAAAAATATATGCTTTATATCTGTGTCAGTAATTAATTTTTCATAATAGGATCTTTGATTTAGGCATGTAATGTATTTGAATGCCCTTTAATGGTCAGAGAATTCTTCTCTAGGCCAGATCTCACACAGTTATTACTTACAATTCTTTGTGCTGACTGTTCATTCAAACTGAACGTGATTATTTTGCACATTGTCATTAGATTTCACATTTGTATCTCTTTAAGATTCCTCACTACCCGTCTAACAATACAGAAAATGTAAAATTCTATTCAGTATAATACATTTTTATTACAGCAAAAATATGGAGTGTCTGAATATGTTCGTCTTCATGTTATTGTGTAAGTGTTTGCATAGGGCTATAATTATACACATTTTTGTGTTTGATTCAATGTTAGATTCTGAGGTCAAGATTTAATTTAATTTTGAATGTTTTGTGTGTTAAAGTGTCTTGATTCTTGAAGAGTTCTAATTGTATACTGTGCAGACTGGTTGAGCTTAAATGGAAAAAAGTTCTTCAGTATAACATTTTACAACACCTGCCATGCTGACCTCTAACAACCCCCCACAACCACAACCTCCAGAATTTGAAGCTCTCCAGAAATAAAATCCAGACATTTGAGAATAGGTGTGTCAGTAGCTTAAGCCCCGCCCTTCCCCATGCACTTTAATCTGATTGGACGCACTCAGGTGATTTCCGCAAAAGACTGTAAATGGAAAAACTCTCATAAGAGACCAAGAGGTGTGTTGGTGTTACAGTTCAATAGTGCAGTGTGTTATTTCATGTTAGTACAATCTGTGTTAGCTAAAAGTGTTAAGAGCAAGATGAAAATGGATTTATATTAACTTACAGGTGATTTATGATTTATATTTTCCACAGACAAATTCAGACGCTGAGATTTTCAGATTCAGGGACTGATTTTCAGCAGAAACTTGGATAAAGCTTTGCTAATGGGTAAGTGCATATGGGAGTGTACCAGTGTTTTGAATTTGATATTGCCAGCTTCACTGCTGCTATATTCCAAATTGATACCTCATGCAACAGATTAATCGGAATAAAAAACAGCTTTGTGGTCTATGTATATTTGCAAGAAATTGATCTTTGGTTACACAGAAGCTCACAGTTGCACAGTAACTGACAATAGATGTTCACACTAATATTGTAACATAGAAGATTTCTTAAAGTTTGGATTATGTAACAGCATCAAATGTAAACTAGAGCTCTTTCTGTGGGTAGTTGGAAGAAACAGAAAACATGAACTAAAATAGTCTGTAATAACTGAACTAACACTGCTCCCTTAACAAAATACATTTTTTGTGAGAGTCATTCCACACCAACTTCGCTTTGCACTCCCAGTGCATGTCATGGACTTTCTTGAAAATAAAAAATGAAGGGTGCTGCTTTATCATCATGCTCCTGACTATCCACTGGTTTGCCACCTGCTGCTCTTCAAGCTGATTTTATTATTTTTTTCAGTCTCCTGAAAAGTCTTTCTGCCATTTCTCATGGCTGTCTAGCTCCTCCTGTTATTTCTTGTGGCTCATGTCCTCCTCCCACCACCTCTCATGGCTGTCATTGGTGTCCAAGGGACAGGCGCCTGGCAAATGGTGTTAGCTCAGTTATTCTAAACATAGTATTTCTCCATACTCAATGGGTTAGGACCCATATTAATATCAGAGACAGCAATAGATATATCTATAGATATGTCCATGCATTACTGAGAGACCTCCTCACAACAAGCATGTTTGAAGGCTTATTTGCTGGTGGCTCTAAGTATGCCATCTTCAGCCACACTTAGGCTCCATAGATTAGGGTGGCTTTAAGCATTCAAGCTTATAGACTACTTTGGGGAATGTGAATTAGTCTGTATTACGTAAAGACGCTTGTTGTTGCAAGATGTTTTGGAAGCTGCTATGCTGGCACACCGTGACATAGTTTACAAGATGTTCTGGATTTTGGCATACCTAGAGCCTACATCAATGGGGCAAGGGTATTCTTGAAGAAGCCATACCTAAAGCCACCTAAATCTATGGATGGCTGAAGATGGCATATTTAGAGCCACCAGTAAGCAGGTCTAAGTATAGATGAAGAACCCAGATGGACTTGTATTCAAATATGCTTGTTGTGGGAAAGTCTCTCTGTAATGCTTGGGCATATCTAGAGGTGTATTTGTTGTTGTCTCTGATAAGTGTCCTAACCCATTGTAAGTATGGAGGGGGCTGAGTCTGGAATGAGCGGTCTGGAGGTGCTGTAAGCTTAATTCCACAAGAGACTGATGAAGGAAGGTGCCCACTTGACAACCCATGTGAAATGCTCATGAGGGTATCTTGTAGTTGTAGTTGTTGTTGTTGTTGTTGTTGTTGTTAGTATTGTTAAGTACCAGTCTAATGGTCATAGTGCGCCCTGTTATGTTATACCTAGGCTAGATTGTTAGGTATGAGTACTTGCATGTGACAGTGAGAGGTCCCCCACCAACAGCAGAAGGAATTTAACATATTTTTCTGTGTATAACTGAAATGGTGCACATAATGGGAGCAAGATGACATCATCTAGTATGCAACAAATCAAGCCATTGCAAGCTGTAACTTGCAAATTTCCTGAACCCTGAACCCTCCTGAACCTTGAAGTCAGCAAAGTACAAATATCTACCTATGAAATAAAACCACTAAATGTAACATTACAACCAGTTAAAAGTAAAAAAAAGACCAAAAAAAGTTATTTTTAATGAATTAGTTATTTTTAATGAATTAGATAATGAAGTAAAATAATATCTGTAGTTGTTTTACATATTTGCAATGAATATTAACATCTTCCCATAAACAAGTTCAAATCATCTTTCTTGGGAAGGATGTAGAGTCAAAATATATTGTATTTATACCAAAATATAAAGTGAAGCTATATTTAGCAAGATCTGTGTCACTCAGTGTTTTATGCAGGACCAAATAACTTCTAGATGTGATATAACTATTTTAATACTACAAAGAATTGAAATCTGGTTGCAAGAAACTGAAAACTAGTGAAGATATTAATTTTTGAAAATTAAAGATTTTTGTTGGGAAAAAAAATATTTTTAGAATTTGATTACTGTGAGACATTTAGCAATAACTCTTTCTATGAATACACCTTGCAAATTATCCTTAGAGTTTCTTGGGTGTTTAGTACAAATTTCAACCCAGTCTAGAGAAAAGGGTCAAACTTAAAAATTTCATAATAAAAAAGCAGTTGAAGTAGAGTTACAGGTTTTTACAAAAACCTCTGTATTTTTCATGCAATACATTATATGGACAAAAGTATTGGGACACACCTCTCAATCATTGATATCAGGTGTTTCATTCAGTCAGGTGTATAAAATCAAGCACCTAGCCTTTACACACACAGAGCGAGTCACTGAGTGCTGAGGAGCATAGTGCATAAAAGCCACAACAGCTCTGCTGACTCAATAACCCAATAACTGGCTTTAACATCAGCACAAAAACAGTGCGCCAGGAGCTTCATGGCATTGGCTTCCATGGCAGAGCAGCTGCATGCAAGCCTTACATCACCAAGCACAATGCCAAGTGTCAGAGAGTATGGTGTAAAGCACGCTGACAGGATCCACAGTAAAATTAATACAATTAGTTTGTTAGTTGTATGTATATCTGATCAACACATGAACAACTTGAGAGTTAAATGAGAGAATGGGTGTAGTTGTCACCAGAGAGACTCTTGCTGCTGATTTTATAGAGATATGGTAGTGTGAAGCCATGCTTGTGTCGACACACCCTGTGGACATGGGTGTGAACAGCCACTTAAACCAACCTTCCTGAACAGGGCTGTTTAGACAGGGTGAGAAGGGTACTGTACAGTACTGCTGTACTTCTTCATTATTGTGGTATTTGGACCTAAGCATGCCACAGATGCTTCATTGAGACCCAAAGGAACTGTGTTAACTTGTGGAAAAAGGGTAGAAAATGTCACCTTTAATGTATGGAAGGCATTTTCATAGTTGTATACAAATAATGTAAGTGGAAATGCATCCTCTGAATCAATGGATGTGTTGATGTGCTTTTTACTTCGGAAAAGTAGTCAGATCTCATCTGGTCCCCGAAGTGAAGTGTGAAAAGAATCCAGCAAACTTTAACCAGATATGATTTGAAACACAAAAATACACCAATCAGGCATAACATTATGACCACTGCCTTGTTTCTACGCTCATTGTCCATTTTATCAGCTCCACTTACTATATAGGTGCACTTTGTAGTTCTACTGTTACAGCCTGTAGTCCATCTGTTTCTCTGCATACTTTGTTAGCCCATTTTACCCTGTTCTTCAGTGGTCAGAACTCCCCTGGACCCTCACAGAGCAGGTACTATTTGGGATGTGGATGATTCTCAGCACTGCAGTAACACTGATGTGGTGGTGGTGTGTTAGTGTGTGTTGTGCTGGTACAAGTCGATCAGATTCAAACAGTGGAGTTTTTAAACACTGTGTCCACTCATTGTCCACTCTATTAGACACTCCTACCTTGTCAGTCCACCTTGTAGATGTAAAGTCAGAGACGACAGCTCATCTGCTGCTGCACAGTTTGTGTTGATCATCCTGTAGTCAGTCGTCACAGGACGCTGCCCACAGGACGCTGTTGGCTGAATATTTTTGGTTGGTGGACTATTCTCAGTCCAGCAGTGAAACTGAGGTGTTTAAAAACTCTGTCTGATCCACAGATTTACAGATCACTGTTTTCATTTTAATTTAACATATTGTCCCAAGTTTATTCGATTTGGGGTTGTATTTGAAGAGTTTTGGTGACTAGGTGATTGGCATTTCCACATCAGATGGAAGTTCATTTTTTCTTTACACTTTCTGCTAGTTCATGTGCAACATTCATGGTTTGGATCAAACTATGTTTCTTGCATTGCACATTGAGTTTATATTTTCTTTTTTCTTTTTTCAGAAATGAATGATGTCCTGTTTTAACTGCACTTTTCAACCCAGCTTAAACGTGCTTCTGTAAACACATCAGGATATTCCACCAAGAGCAACGTTAAGCTGAAGAAATAGATTAAATTTATAAGTATGATGTCAAGAAGACGTTCCAGTACTCAGCAAACGTCACCTGGTAACCTCCACATGAACACATTTCACCAACGCATTCACACAGAAGAGAAGCCGTATCACTGCTCAGAGTGTGGGAAGAGTTTTAATAATCGGCGTTACCTGAAAAGACACCAGCGCACTCACACAGCAGACAAGCCGTATCACTGCTCAGAGTGTGGGAAGAGTTTTAAACATCAGCATTATCTTAAAGTACACCATCGCAATCACACAGGAGAGAAGCCATATCACTGCTCAGAGTGTGGGAAGAGTTTTAATGATCGGCGTTACCTGAAAAGACACCAGAACATTCACACAGACGAGAAACCATATCACTGCTCAGAGTGTGGGAAGAGTTTTAAACATCAGCGTTATCTTAAAGTACACCATCGCATTCACACAGGAGAGAAGCCATATCACTGCTCAGAGTGTGAGAAGAGTTTTGGTGATCCGAGTCATCTCAAAAGACACCAGAACATTCACACAGACGAGAAACCATATCACTGCTCAGAGTGTGGGAAGAGTTTCAATCATCAGCGTTATCTTAAAATACACAAGCGCATTCACACAGGAGAGAAGCCGCATCACTGCTTACAGTGTGGTATGTGTTTTAATTATCGAAGTTCTTTCCTACGACACCAGCTTGTTCACACAGGAGAGAAGCCGTATCACTGCTCACAATGTGGAAAGAGTTTTAATCGTAAGAGTCATCTCCAAGAACACCAGCACATCCATACAGGCGAGAGGCCGTATCACTGCTCGGAGTGTGGAAAGAGTTATAATGACAGGAGTACTCTCCAAAAACACCAGCACATTCACACAGGAGTTAAACCATATTACTGCTGGGCGTGCGAGAAGAGTTTTACTCAGCAAGGTAATCTCCAGCGACACCAGCTAATTCACACAGGAGAGAAGCCGTATTTCTGCTTGGAGTGTGGGAGGAGTTTCAGGCATTCAAAGACTATGACGAGACACAAGTGCATTAAGAGCAGTGGTAGAAATGGGCAGTAATGAGTGTAACTTTAACACATCCCAGGAGTGATGTGTGCAGGGAATGGTTTCCAGCCTAGATTAAAAAAATCCGGAAAACTGTTTTTAGAGGGGAAATCCATCTTCTGTTGTTTAACACTGTTTTTAATAGCTAAGCTTAAAATGAAATTGAGAAGCTCCGCATTCAGTAATAAGATGTTTACTTTGTAATTTAGTGTAGTGTTCCAATGATGGATGTTTTGACAAACATTTGACAGGCTTCTTCATACCTACACGTTAACTAGTTAATTCTTGTTGCAATTAAATTGCCACTTGTCTTCCCTTTTAATGTTTAGGACATGTTTTTGTATGCTATATGTTCAGTGTTATCATTGAGGACAGTAGTCAAAAATTATCCTGAAAACTGCAACAGTGAAGTTTCTGCTGTGGTGGGCACAACTGAACAGCTTTGTAAAGGAGACACTGGAAGGCATTAAGCTATCTGAGTGACGTACCAGTGCCCTCTCCTCAGTACGGCCTACGCGTGCCTGTCCTATACGGCATAAAGTCGCATACAGGCCAGACTATAATTCACCTATGAACTTTTTGTTACTCTTTTTAGAGATTTTAATGATTGTTGATGTTCTTTGCTTGAAGAGTGATTGTTTCTTGAGAAAGATGCTGTGACATATGTTGAGGACTTTATGCCTGTCTCCCATCAATCCTACCAGACATGGCGGTGGCCAATGGCACAGGAGTTTGAACTGTGTATCTCCATCATTGTACTCCTGGTTGAAGGGTGATTATTTGAGGATGTCAAGAGCCTGACTGAAAGTGATTCTTGCTGACATCATTAGACTGTGTATGAGGGACACTATCTTTGTTGACTGAATCTGTTCAGTTTTGTTCCTGAACCAATCCATGTCTGTATACTACTAGTTTTGATTTGTAATTATGAATCAATATGTATGTGCAATTCTGTTTTAAAGATTGTCTAATTTACATGTAATCTGTATAACTCTATAACAATTTTGACCCAATCTGTGTTAGGGAAGACACATGCAGGTACTTACCACCCGCTCCCCATCCGTCTATGTATCTAACTATCTACATATTTGTAATGTGGTGAGCTGTGCACCCCATTAACAGCCTCAAACAAACTTCTAGTACAGCCATCAGGAGTTATGGACATGATTATAAAATGTTTCTTACCTGTATTCCTTTGATGAGCATCCTTTAGGGGATGCCGGCGAGAGCAGGGGCTCTTCTTATCCCAGTCAGACGGATCAACCAATGCAGGGTGGAGGGGTCCACTCTCGTGCGGGTCCGGGAAAGAAAAGGAAAACATGGTAGAGTGTAGTTCGAGCATGTGTATTTACTTGTGTATATAGTGTATATAGCGTTTTCTTTCCATTTTGTTCAGTGTTTTGTTTGTTCGTGTCCCGCTATTTAATAAAGTCACTTCTTGCACTTACTTGGAGTCATCACGTTAGTAAGCCACACAGACCTTGACCGCGAAGCTCATGTAAAGCCAAAGTCCTCCATCCAGGGGTATTACCACCTAACACTCTCTCTCTCTCTCTCTCTCTGAGTTTTTGCCTGCTGATTTCTTAGTTAAGCCTTTGCGGTTTTCTGTGTTTGTGCAAACGTTAATCTGTTAAGTTTTTTTCTCTTTATTTTCATTTTTTTTAATATATTTTTTCTTTGTTTCTTTGATCTTGAAAAATGTTTCTTTTCTTTCAAAGTTTATAGTCTATTTATCTTTTGAAATTCATTGTGTGGTCTTCTATTTTTATGTATATCACATATATGGGTGTTTTTCTAAACATTTAACCACATCATCTTCATGCTGTGGTAAATTACCCAGCACTGCATAAGCTTTACACTGCTTTAGCTTCTTAGTTCTAATGATCAACTAGTGATCTGTCAAACAAATGACACATAAAATGTACCTTAATACTACATTTACGTTTACATTTACATTTAGCAGACACTTTTATCCAGAGCGACTTACAAAAAGTGCTTTGTCTGCCTAGAGAAAGTAACTTTGCAAGTTACAAATAGGTTAGAGAGAAAGCCAGTCCTGAGCTCAGATAGTGCTAGAAACAAAAGCCCATACACTACAGTACTTCCTGTTGTGCGTTTATGTACTTCTACTTTCACTCACTCTAAACTGTGATATTATTTCTCCATTTCTATCTATTCTTTATAATAGAAACCTTTTAGGATTTAGGAGATTCTTACTGCTTTCAGCTCACTGAAGTAACTTAATTTCAGTTGAGACTCTCCAGCCCCTGCTTTCTTAGGAGAGATCTGTAGAAGAGTTCAAATGCAAAACCCTGAAGCAGAGCACATCTCCTTCTTAAACACATTACTGTTCAAATGTTCACAATCAGTGTTTTCAATAATATAAAAGCAATTTAGCTGTAGATAAATCTTTAGAATAATACTAATATGATTTTAGTATTGTACAACTTAATACATTTGGGATCATTTGTAGGAAGCTGTAAAAAATAAATGTTAGATGTGTCCACAATGATAGATGATTGTAAAATGAGTGAGAAAGCTGTAGATCTTTGAAAGTGGTGTAATAAAATTAGTTTATTAGTGAATTCATTTGCAAAGTGGTGATCAAATCTGGTTCAAATTTACCTCAGTTAATGGCATATTTCACTCAGCTACTGCAGATTTACCTCAGTTAATGGCATATTTCACTCAGCTCCTGAAGATTTACCTCAGTTAATGGCATATTTCACTCAAATAATGCATATTTACCTCTGTTAATGACATATTTCACTCAGGTACTACAGATTTACCTCAGTTAATGGCATATTTCACTCAGCTAATGCAGATTTACCTCAGTTAATGTCCTCTCACACAAGCAATGCATATTTATCTCAGTTAATGACATGTCATTCAGCTACTGCAGATTTACGTCAGTTAATGGCATATTTCACTCAAGTAATGCAGATTTACCTCACCTAATGGCATATTTCACTCTGCTTCTGTAGAAATACCTCAGTTAATAACATATTTCACTCAGCTACTGCAGATTTACCTCAGTTAATGTCATATTTAACTCAACTAATGCAGATTTACCTCAGTTAATAACATATTTTACTCAGCTTATATAGTTTTACCTTAGTCAATGCCATATTTCACACAGCTTCTACAGATTTACCTCAGTTAATAACATATTTCACACAGCTTCTGCAGATATACCTCAGTTAATAACATATTTTATTTGGCGTCTGCAAATTTACCGCAGTTAATGGGATATTTCACTCAGCTACCGCAGATTAACCTTAGTTTATGGCATATTTCACTCAGCTACAGCAGATTTACCTAAATAAATGCCATATTCCACTCAGCTACAGCAGATTTACCTGAATAAATGCCATATTTCACTCAGCTACTGCAGATTTGGCTCAGTTAATGGCATATGTCATTCAGCTACTGCAGATTTACCTCAGTTAATGGCATATTTCACCCACCTACTGCAGATTTAACTCAGTTAATGCCATGTTTTACTCAGTTGCTGTAGATTTACCTCAGTTAATGTAATATTTCACTCAGCTTCTGCAGATTTGGCTCAGTTAATGGCATATGTCATTCAGCTACTGCAGATTTACCCTCAGTTAATGGCATATTTCACCCACCTACTGCAGATTTAACTCAGTTAATGCCATGTTTTACTCAGTTGCTGTAGATTTACCTCAGTTAATGGCATATTTCACTCAGCTACTGCACATTTACCTCAGTTAATGGCATATGTCATTCAGCTACTGCAGATTTACCTCAGTTAATGGCATATTTCACCCACCTACTGAAGATTTACCTCAGTTAATGGCATATTTTACTCAGCTTCTACAGATTTACCTCAGTTAATGGCATATTTCACTCAGTTACTGCAGATTTACCTCAGTTAATGGCATGTTTAACTCAACTAATGCAGATTTACCTCAGTTAATAACATATTTTACTTGGCTTCAGCAAATTTACTTCAGTTAATGGCATATTTCACTCAGCTACTGCAGATTTACCTCAGTTAATGGCATATTTCACTCAGCTACTGCATACTTACCTCAGTTAATGGCATATTTCACTCAGCTTCTGCAGATTTACCTCAGTTAATGTCATACTTCACTCAACGTCTGCAGACTTACCTCAGTTAATAACATATTTTACTCGACTTCGGCAACGTTACCTCAGTTAATGCCATATTCCACTCAGCTAATACAGATTTACCTTAGATTTACCTCAGTCAATGTGATATTTCACACAGCTTCTGCAGATATACCTCAGTTAATGGCATATCTCATTCAGATACTACACATTTACCTCAGTTAATGGCCTATGTCAATCAAGTAATACAGATTTATCTTAGTTAATGGCATATATCATTCAACTACTGCAGATTTACCTCAGTTAATGGCATATTTCACTCAGCTACTGCAGATTAACCTTAGTTTATGGCATATTTCACTCAGCTACTGCAGATTTACCTCAGTTAATGGCATATTTCACTCAGCTACTGCAGATTTAACTCAGTTAATGCCATGTTTTACTCAGTTGCTGTAGATTTACCTCAGTTAATGTAATATTGCACTCAGCTTCTGCAGATTTGCCTCAGTTAATAAAATATTTTACTCGGCGTCTGTAGATTTACCTCAGTCAATGCAATATTTCACACAGCTTCTGGAGATGTACCTCACTTAATGGCATATCTCATTCAGCTACTACACATTTACCTCAATTAATGGCCTATGTCACTCAAGTAATGCAGATTTATCTCAGTTAATGGCATATGTCATTCAACTACTGCAGATTTTCCTCAGGTAATGGCATATTTCACTCAGCTACTGCAGATTTACCTCAGTTAATAACATATTTTACTCAGCTCCTGAAGATTTACCTCAGTTAATGGCATATGTCCTTCAGCTACTGCAGATTTACCTCAGTTAATGGCATGTTTCACTCAAATAATGCAGATTTACCTCAGTTAAAGGTATATTTCACTCAGGTACTACAGATTTACCTCAGTTAATGGCATATTTCACTCAACTAATGCAGATTTACCTCAGTTAATGTCATCTCACACAAGCAATGCAGATTTATCTCAGTTAATGACATGTCATTCAGCTACTGCATATTTACCTCAGTTAATGGCATATTTCACTCAAGTAATGCAGATTTACCTCAGTTAATGGCATATTTCACTCAGCTACTGCAGATTTAACTCAGTTAATGCCATGTTTTACTCAGTTGCTGTAGATTTACCTCAGTTAATGGCATATTTCACTCAGCTTCTGCAGATTTGGCTCAGTTAATAAAATATTTTACTCGGCGTCTGTAGATTTACCTCAGTCAATGCAATATTTCACACAGCTTCTACAGATATACCTCACTTAATGGCATATCTCATTCAGCTACTACGGATTTACCTCAGTTAATGGCATATTTCACTCAGCTTCTACAGATTTACCTCAGTTAATGCCATATTTCACTCAGTTACTGCAGATTTACCTTAGTTAATGTCATGTTTAACTCAACTAATGCAGATTTACCTCAGTTAATAACGTATTTTACTTGGCTTCAGCAAATTTACTCCAGTTAATGCCATATTTCACTCAGCTACTGCAGATTTACCTCAGTTAATGGCATATTTCACTCAGCTACTGCATACTTACCTCAGTTAATGGCATATTTCACTCAGCTTCTGCAGATTTACCTCAGTTAATGTCATACTTCACTCAACGTCTGCAGACTTACCTCAGTTAATAACATATTTTACTCGACTTCGGCAACGTTACCTCAGTTAATGCCATATTCCACTCAGCTAATACAGATTTACCTTAGATTTACCTCAGTCAATGTGATATTTCACACAGCTTCTGCAGATTTACCTCAGTTAATGGCATATTTCACTCAGCTACTGCATATTTACCTCAGTTAATAACATTTTTTACTTGGCTTCAGCAAATTTACTTCAGTTAATGGCATATTTCACTCACCTTCTGCAGATTTATCTCAGTTAATGTCATATTTCAATCAGCTACTGCATATTTACCTGAGTTAATGCCATATGTCATTCAGCTATTGCACATTTACCTCAGTTAATGGCATATTTCACTCAGCTACTGCAGATTTACCTCAGTTAATGGCATATTTCACTCAGCTTCTGCAGATTTACCTCAGTTAATGGCATATTTCACTCAGCTACTGCAGATTTACCTCAGTTAATGGCATATTTCACTCAGCTACTGCAGATTTACCTCAGTTAATAACATATTTTACTCGGCTTCTGCAACGTTACCTCAGTTAATGCCATATTTCACTCAGCAAATACAGATTTACCTCAGTTAATAACATATTTTACTCGGCTTCTGCAACGTTACCTCAGTTAATGCCATATTTCACTCAGCAAATACAGATTTACCTCAGTCAATGTGATATTTCACACAGCTTCTGCAG